TGCTGGGGTTGTGACGTCGAAATCCTATTTTCTGTGATTAGCTATTTGGTATTTTCTTCTTTTCTTCAGAGGGAATGCGATCTTCGATCCCAACGCACAAAAGAAGAAGAAAGCAAGAAACACTCAAACCATCAAGCAAGGAAACAGAAAAAGAAGAAAAAAAGGAAAAATGCATACACAATAAAGCACACTCCTCAATCCCCACGCCCCCCTCATAACCAACAAGCTCCCCTTCCTCATCTTCCCCACCACATTGTGCAAAATCTTCTCTTTATCCTCCTGGGTGCCTCCCACTAGAGCCGCTAACCATACGATCTCATAACTCGAGAGATCGAGATCATTGGATCCAGCTAATGAGGTGATAAATTTCATTCCGGTAGATGGAAGTCCACCGAGGGATTTGCACAGGGCTTGAGCTTGGGTGTTGGCGAGGGGGTTACTGTCGATATTGGTGATAGAGGTAGGATATTGTGGGGTGAGAGAGGTAGATGAAATAGATGGAGTGGGTGTGATGTTGTATGTCATGTGGTTTGAGGAGAGTGCAGATAAGATGCAGAGACTAGTGAGTGGCATTGGACCCGAGCCGATAAAAGCGATGTTGGTGGATGGGGAGAGAGTGAATCCTGTGGAGGAAATAGCGGCGAGTTCGAAACGTGTTAGGTGTTCGTAGTTTTTGTTGTAGGGGAAGGTGGAGAGGGTGCGATGGGCTGGGTGCTGTTAGTTGTGGAGAAAGTAGTTTAGGAGATGCGTGAGACTTGCCATCCTCATGAGTTTCAGCGCTAGCAATAGCTTCTGCCCAGGAGGACTCCATGCATGCTTCGGCGGTCGCGCAGATATCGCGAAGCGAAGGTAAGATGCTGGAAATTCGTGGGTCGTTAAGTACCTACATGTCTATTAGTCAATGTTACCTCCCGAGCATAAGTTACAAAACTAACTAGTCTTGACACCAAGTCAGGAACAACAGTGATACAAGTTCCCACGAGTTCTGAAAACAAAACATTGGTTACAGGAGAAGGACTAAGATCGGTGAGTTGGGATAGTTGTGTATGAAGAGAGAGGAGTTTCTGGATGTAGACTTCGGCTTGTGGATTTGGGACATCTTTGATGACTTCTTTTGTTTCGACAACGGGACTGAAGGAGGTACTGCTGAATTTTGAGGACGAGGGTATTTTGTTTTCCCGGTAGATTGAGCGGATGGAGGATAGCAGGGAACAGATGGAAGATTTGTCCATGATCGAATATTCCAGGCTTTCTTTGAAACTATTACTTGTGCGTAAGATTGGGAGCTGAAAGATAATTGCGAGATTAGAATGTGATAACTTAAACAGTTATTACGGTGCCAAGTATGAAAGGAGGGGTATTAGAAATTTAGAGTCGATAGGGAGACCTCATGGAGGCACGGGGTAACCATCAACTTCGATATTATTCGTTAATTGATAAAACTGTATGTGATATGAAACAGTCGAATATAGAGCCATAGATGAGATATTCATGTACCTGTGGACGAAGGTATTGAAGTGTTACCCATATAATATACTATATGTGGGAAAAATTCGGGATCGAAAGTAGTGAGTGTGAGATATTGCAAGATTACATTACCATAAATTTCTTTGCGTAGTTTATCTTGTCTTGGACAATCTTTTTGCAAAGTCTGTTGTTTTAAGTCTTGAAATTGAAAGAAGACAGAAAATAATTTGAACTCTTAGAAATTGATGTGCAGGAGATCAATGGAATTTTTGCTTGTACTCTTAAATAGCCATCAAGGTGTTTTCCAGGCTCCATTTACATGTTTAACCGGGTAAGGCGACCAATCCAAAGCCTCGAATTGTTAAGATTATGGGAGTAAGCCCACTTGATGTGATACTGAACAACTGGGGAGATATGTGAATCAATTGAATTAGAAGATTTTTCATGCGAATGTGATCCTTTCACTTGCAGGTTTATATGGAGTGAATAAACAAGGAGGAGGCATGATCGCCCGGGCCATGCCAGAAGCTGATGAATTTTTCATGTAGCAAAGCTTTGTACGATACCCTTGCATTGTTTTATTCATGAGGAAGGTATGATAGATTCCAGAAATTGGGAGATCTTCATTGTGATAAAGGCAGGTGCTCCCATAACAAGGATTTTCGAAACTCAGGGTAATATCATAAACATCGAAACACTGAAGCAAAAAGAATGACAACATCCAATGTCTTAAATATACATCAGACTTCTTGTGCATAACAAGTAATATGAGACGAGAGCACGTAGTGAATAGTGCGCTTCCAGCACTGGTGGTGGACGGTATTGCTGGCATGGACACTTGACCCTGAGAAGAACGTGCGACATTCCACGACCAAGAAAGCTATTTAGTGAGAGGCAACCATGCAAATATTTAATGATCATCATATTAGTTATCCTTTTCATAAGGTGTGATCATCCGGGTCATAATTCCATAGTTGCTTGACCTTGCTTTAAGACGCTTCGTCGTCGATACAATTTTTCTTCTCTGCCATCGTGTCAGCTACTTTGTGTACTAGTATAGATGTATTCGATTCAGCTTAAGGGAGTTATTGGGAACTTGTTGCCTCTAGTCTTGGTCGCTATTCCCCGACAAAGAGTTGAAACAAAGAAAACGCAATATTTAATGCCAACGGAACAGACTGGTCGGTACTAGCTAGCACTCTTCACCCTAAGAATCTTCAGATCAATCGATTTAGTGAAGAAAATGAGGGATTCACAGCAGGATTGGCACCTCACTATTGCTTTCAATGCCCATCCCTCATTAAATCCCTAGCCGAGCCTTTCAGACGTTATGAAAGCCAGGGGTAGTATAATAGTAGCTTGTAGAGCTGAGAAGCCATAGCTATCTACGCGCATGATTAGTCTCGTGTATTGTAGTAGAAGAGGAACATTTTGCTGCATGGATATCTCGAAGTCGGCATATCCCTGGACGTCATAATGAGGAAACAGTAAAGATGACGGCTGTGAGAATAGCGAATAATGTCTCATATTCCGCTATAGTGATTATGTTGCTATGAATCTTTGCAGACACTGCAAGTATTACCTGGCGGTCGGCTGAATCCCGATTGCATTGCGGCGACACTCTCTTAGGTGGAATCATTGACAGGCGAGCAACCCAAGCACACCACCATACATAACATTGTTGCTCAAAAAGTTTTGGGATCTTTCGGTCGAGCCTTAATATTGTATTGTAAAGAGGGAGATATCATACCGGCCAGGTGTTATTTTAGGGACTTAAGCTTGTCCTGTAGGAAGGGTGATCCAAATGACAGATGTCTGATTGTAGGCGAAGAGCCCCATGGTTTGGCGTTAGCTGCCTACGATCATGCGATAGAGCGTTGCGATCATGCCTTGTACCAACTAGAACCCGATACAGGGTAGATGTGAATCTTGGAGTACCGGATTTGTTCTATGTCTGGACTTAACTTGCGGACCGAAGGAGTGTTCATAAAATTCTTGAACAAAAATTTGTTCCGATTATGGAGGTAACAAAGGTGAATTCCAACTTACACACAAGGAAAACATGGACATTTTGCAATGGCGTAGTACTACGAATTGAGGCACATTTGACGTGTGGAGCTATTGTCAGCAGCTCCCAAAGCATCAATATTCCGCCTTTACGAGAAGCTGAAGAAGGCAACAGGATCGGATCCCTTGTAGCTTGGGTGGGCAACCATTTATCTCTGTTGTTAGCTTTCTTTCAATTGGGAAAGGTGGCAGTGGATAACAGTCTATTCGACTCATTGATAACCTGCCAGAGTTTTGCAAGGCTTTTGAATTTCCGACACCGGTGATAGCTGTACGTTGGAACGCAGCCCAAATTCTGCATCGATGACTTGCTTGCTTCTCCCTTCTTTCCTTCAGACCACATAGATCCAATATCAACTACCGTCCATTCATTGGTGTGCAACAGGGGAAAGGTCAGACTGTACCGAGGAAACATTCCAGGACTACCGACGGATTTGATCCATGGTTGGGGGTTTAAGTCGAACTGTTCAAGTAGATATAGATATTCGCGCGATGTAGTATTCTAGAATGCTACCAACTTACTCTACTGTGTCCATCCATCATATGTTCAAGCCCAGCTTACTAAAAGCATAGAGTTGCGGCCATATACCTAGAAATTCATTTCATTTCAATGCAATGTAATGTATTAAGACCGGGTGTAGACTGACTGAAAGTACCAGAAAGTACTAGGACTACAACACCAAATGTACGGTAAATGCTAGGAACAATTCTGGGGCCACAGAAATACAAGAACTGTCTTGGATTGGGCATTAGAAGCCAACTTTTCTGACATGCTGATTTGACTTGAGTTTTCGATTATCTTCTTCAAAGCGAATCGAATCAGAAATCTTTCAGTGTTAGAATGAAAGTTTGACATCACAAATAGCACCGGTAACAAAAACATCTTGTACTGGTCACTAAAAGTCAAATCCTACTTTACCTTTTCACGCTAGATTGACTTGATTGCCTATATAGATAGATGACTGATAGATCACGTGCATCATAAGGCTGCTAAGAACTTCAGCCAATCATACTGTCTAATTCCACTTTAGCTTGGCTTATATAAGCGCTCGGGGTCTCTGCGATTCCCCCATCCAAAAAGTTGAGCCTTGTCTGTAGAAAGCATAGAAATATCAGAAGTCCAAATCAACCAGGACGAAGAACGTTTTTAATATTTACGACATCACGACAGACCTTTCATTTCGGAACTTTCTATCATTCGAAACCCTTATTGTCTCTCAACTATCGACTAAATAGTTAATTTAATTTCTTCCACAACATCTATACTTTCCCAGCCTTTTCTCGGAAGCCTTCAATTCAAGACGCGAACTACTTTTGGGAAGCACGCCGGTTCTGTTTGCACATAATACCGGTACTTTTGCAGCCTGACGATAAATTCTATTGTAATTGGTGTTATTTTCTCGCGCTGCATGAAGTAATTCCTGCAAGAGGCTTGCGCCAATGCGAATTTCGCTGCTATTGCAGCTATGGCTTCTAATAATATAGAGGTCCTCGTTCAGAGGTTGAGCTCTGCGGACACTGGTACGCCTCTGAATTACTGGACTTTTTCTTGACACCAAATCACTGTGCACATTTTGTTACGCAGTTCTGGATATTCTCGTGCTAATTGTAATGCGACAGATCTCAAACTCAAGGTCGATGCTGCTGTTCAATTGCGCGATGGCCTCGAGCATTACATCACCGGTCCCATATATCCGGCATTCTTAAGGAAGCTCATGCCAATTTTTATAAATTGCTTGAAGGGTCCTCCTGTATTTATTAGCACTAACTTGGAGCAGGTAGGCATCACAATAACGAACTGTGTGACGCAATGCTCACCTGGAATTTTAGAAACTTCGATGTTGCGTCCTGGAGATACTTCATCGTCTACCCACGAACCCCCCAGAATCATTCGAGCCATATGCGGTGGAAGTGGTGGATCTTTTGATAGGTTTAGTCCGAACAGATAACGAGGAAAATGCTACACTATGTGTCAAGACTATCATGGACATCATGCGAAGTCAGACCAAGGTTTTGCAAGACAAAGTACAGACGTTCCTCGGTCTCATCCAAGATCTGTTTGACCAGATGGATTCGGTTGTTCGTGACCAACTCGATAATGTAGCCACTGGATCTAACCCCTCTGGTGTTCCGTCCACACCTGGAAGTTCGCAGACATTTCAGAATTCCCCTCGGCCTGGCTCGCCTGTTACCACTGGGGACATTGGTCAAGACCCGCAACAGCAGACGCGCAAGCTACTGAAAGGCATGCAGTCATTCAAAGTCCTTGCTGAATGCCCCATCATTGTCGTGTCGATATTCCAGGTTTATCGCAATTCCGTGCCTCAGAATGTCAAGTTATTCATACCGCTCATCAAAAGCGTACTATTACTCCAAGCCAAACCACAGGAGCAAGCTCATATTGAAGCAGCGAAAAGAGGTACAATATTCACAGGTGTTAGTCCGGATATCAAGAATCGAGCGGCTTTTGGTGAATTCATTACAGCGCAGGTGAAGACTATGAGTTTCCTAGCGTATCTTTTGAGAGTCTATTCACAACAGCTCACAGATTTCCTTCCCACGCTACCGGATATAGTAGTAAGACTGTTGAGGGACTGCCCCCGAGAAAAGTCTGGAGCTCGAAAAGAGCTACTGGTGGCGATCAGACATATAATCAACTTCAATTTCAGAAAGATCTTTCTCAGAGTAATAGACCAACTCCTTGATGAAAGGACACTTATCGGCGATGGCTTGACTGTGTATGAAACGATGCGACCCCTAGCCTACAGCATGTTAGCCGACCTTATTCATCATGTTCGAGATGCATTGGAACCCAGTCAGATTCGCAAAACAGTTGAAGTTTATACTCGGAACCTACAAGATAGTTTTCCAGGGACAAGCTTTCAGACTATGAGCGCAAAGTTACTTCTCAATATGGCTGAATGTATTGCAAAAATGCCTAGCAAGACAGATGCTCGCCACTATCTAATAATGATACTTAATGCCATTGGAGATAAGTTTGCAGCCATGAATCGCCAGTATACCAATGCAGTCAAGCTCTCGAAGCACTATTCCCAGCATACAATCGATGCGGCCCCAGAAAACTATTTAGCAGATAAGGATAATCCACCAGACTGGGACGAGATTGACATTTTCTCGGCAATGCCTATCAAGACATCGAATCCTCGTGACAGGGGCGCAGATCCAGTAGCCGACAACAAATTTCTGTTCAAAAATCTTATGAATGGCTTGAAGAATACATTCTACCAATTGAAGGCCTGCAACGGAGGTTCCCCAATTGAGCTATCAAATGCTCCTCCACATTGGGCAGAGGTGTCACACGGGTTTTCTGCGGAAGAGGTTCAGGTCATTATAAAGCTTTTCCGAGAAGGAGCTTACGTATTTCGATACTACGAGATTGAGAAACCTGCGACAGAATCGCAATACTCGTCGCCTGTTGAATTCATGGCAAACCATTATATGGTATCTAGCAGCAAGGAGGAAAAGGATCTCCTTGAAACTTTTGCCACAGTCTTTCATTGTATAGATCCGGCCACATTCCACGAAGTGTTTCATGAAGAAATCCCCAAGCTTTACGAAATGATCTTTGAACATACGGCTCTTCTCCATGTTCCTCAATTCTTCCTCGCTAGTGAGGCAACTTCACCAAGCTTTGCCGGAATGCTGTTACGATTCCTTATGGATCGCATTGATCAAGTTGGTACCGCTGATGTCAAAAAGTCATCAATTCTTCTTCGACTCTTTAAGCTAGCTTTCATGGCAGTGACTCTTTTCGCGAATCAGAACGAGCAGGTTCTATTGCCACACGTTGTTAACATAGTAACAAAGTCTATCGAGCTTTCGACAACTGCCGAGGAGCCTTTGAACTACTTCTTACTACTGAGATCTCTTTTCAGAAGTATTGGAGGAGGAAAGTTCGAACATCTTTACAAACAAATTTTACCTCTCTTGGAGATGCTATTAGAAGTCCTCAATAATTTACTTATGGCCGCTCGCAAACCAGCAGATCGGGACCTTTACGTAGAACTTTGTTTAACAGTACCAGCACGATTGAGCAACCTTCTGCCTCATCTCAGCTACTTGATGCGACCTCTCGTAGTGGCTTTACGCGCAGGTTCTGATCTCGTCGGTCAAGGTTTGCGAACACTGGAACTATGCGTGGACAATCTTACGGCAGATTACCTAGACCCAATAATGGCGCCAGTAATTGATGAACTGATGACTGCACTATTTGACCACCTTCGACCAAATCCATACAGCCATTTCCATGCACATACCACCATGCGTATACTTGGAAAATTGGGAGGTCGCAACAGAAAATTTATGACTGGTGCCCCCAATCTTAATTTCCAGCAGTTTGCGGATGATATCGCGACCTTCGACTTGAAGTTGATCGGCTCCAAGAAGGAGAAAGCTTTTCCTGTCGAGATAGGAATCGACCTCGCAATCGGGAAATTGATGGAGGTTCCAAAGGGTGCTGTTGCTAAAAAATCAGATCCTTATTACAAGAAGCAAGCGCTTGCTATGATCAAAGCCCAGCTCAAGTTGCGACTGGGCGCAGATAATCTTCCGGAGGACTTTCCTCGTCTCGTAAGGCTCCAGGCACAAGACCTTCTTTCCAAAAAATCAGATGCAGATCTATCACTTTTCGAAACACCTGTCAGGGACAGGTCTGAGACTAAGAAGATGCAACAAGATGTCATGCTGAAGAAACTTTTGAAGGCTTGCATCTTTGCAGTATCTCTTCCCGAATTCTCGGCAGAGGCTACTGCTCTTCTGTCCAACATTTGTAAACACGTTACGATTATCGAAGTCGCTAGATCATTAGGTGATATGAAAGTGAGAATGAAGCCGTTTGATGTCAATGCAGGAGAAGGCCCTCCTTGCATTGACAGTAAAGTTCTAGGGGATGCCATCGTCGAATCTCTCGCTTCCGATTTGCCTGCTGTGCGTGATGCCGCCAAGTTTGCTGCCCAAGAGGTTTACGATTCGACATCGACCATCTTTGGGTCCAATCGCTTCATTCACAGATTGTCTTTTTTCAGCCATTTGAGTAATATCTTCTGTCACAGCTGTTATCAGGAAGAGTGGTTCACCAAAACCGGTGGTAGTTTGGGTATCAATCTCATGCTAACAAAATTCGATCTCGGTGATAGCTGGATGCTGGAAAAGCAAGTTGAGTATACTAAAGCTCTCATGCATGTTGTCAAAGACATGCCCCCTGATCTGCCAGCGAAGACTCGAATTGCTGCCCAGGATACACTAGAACTCCTTTTGAAGCGATGTGCCGGCAAATCTTCTAAAGCTGATCTTCAACCTTCGTCACAGCCTGGACAACCTTCACGACCATCCAAGCTACTTCAACTGTGCAACTTTTTCAATGCTGAGGTGTACCACATGAATGGTCATGTTCGTGAAACCGCGAGAAAATCCCTCGAGATTATCGCGAAGGAGATTGGGGTTGAAGTGTACGAGCTTCTTGCCCACCAGCAGGATCGAATCTTGGCTCCCATTTATAACAAACCTCTCAGAGCTTTGCCATTTGCAACCCAAATTGGATATATCGATGCCGTCAATTACTATATGAGTCTGAAGAACGACTTCCTTGCCTTTGATGACACTTTGAACAGACTGCTTATGGAGTGTCTGGCGTTAGCTGATGCACCAGATGAGTCGCTAGCGCCTAAGCCCACCGAATATCGAACACATGAGCATATTGTCACTCTCAGAGTCTCTTGCATAAAGACCTTGACAACTGCCATGGGATTCGATGACTTCCAAAAAGGCCCGGCAAGTCCTACTCGAACTAGGATTGTCAGTGTATTCTTCAAATGCCTTTATTCTAATTCCAAGTCAACTATTGAGGCGGCCAATGATGCGTTGAGAGTCGTCTTATCCCATTCCAACAAGCTTCCCAAGGATCTACTTCAAAACGGCCTCCGACCGGTACTGGCTAATCTTCAAGATCCTAAACGGTTAACTACTCATGGTCTCGATGGGCTAGCACGGTTGCTTCAACTTTTGACAACATATTTCAAGGTTGAGATTGGTGCCCGTCTATTGGAACACATTAGAATCCTTGCAGACCCAAACTCTTTTCAGCGTATTTCGTTCACTCTCGTAGAGCAAAACGAGCAGATGAAGATTATTGCAGCTGTATTCAACATCTTCCATCTCTTGCCTCCTGCGGCCGAGCAATTTAAGGAGAAACTTATCGAGACTGTTTTGGAATTGGAAGAAAAACTTCGTAGGACACGCCATAGTCCTTTCAGAGAACCACTATACAAATACATCAATCGATATCCTAAAGAGGTGTGGGCCATGCTTCTCAGCAAGATCGAGGACCAAAAGTATGGCAGGTTTTTGGCGCAAGTTCTGGGTCATCCCGATAGTGCACCGCTACGAGCAGTCGTAGTTCGCAATATAGATTCTTTGATAAAGAGCTGCGGGGATATGGGTGCAGAAAACAGAGAAACTCGATATGCAGCCGTCATTAATGCTATCAATGTCATGCACTCCATCTGTAACTTCAAGGGAACCGAACTTTGGATGGATAAAAAGGAGAACTTAATGTGGTTCAGGCTAGTTGGCAAGAACCTTGAGCAGCATCTACGCACTAATACTCTTCCACAAAATCTTCGACTGGCAGCAGAACAAGCAGGACAACAACTTATGATCATCTTCACAAAGTTCCTGGAATACAATCCTCGCGACCTAGATTCATTCTTCAATCTAATTGAGTCCGTAACAGCTGAAGATTTCAAGCCTAACCAGCCAATCTTTGATTTTATTTACAAGTCCATAATTTGCAGCGAATCGATCGACTATCGTAAAGCTATTGTCCTGCGAAGTCTGGAGATCTACGTCAGTAAAGCTGCAACGCAGAGAAACAAGACATTCCTCCTCCACAATCTTGTCAATCCAATAATCGCCATGGACATTATGCGCAACTTTCAACAGCCATTGTCGGCCAAGAGTCCCCGTCTCATAGACAGGACGATTATCGAATCGATACATACCAAAGTTTGGAAGGTCGGTCTGCCAGATCCAAGTGATGATCTCACACAACCAGGAATCGATCATACTCGAATGGAATTGTTGCAATTGACAGCCATGCTCGTGAAGTACAATCATTCCATCCTTCAAGAAGCCAGGAAAGACATCATTAAGTTTGGTTGGGGCTACATCAGGCTCGAGGATGTCATTAACAAGCATGCGGCATATGTCGTTATTGGATATTTTATTGCACACTACGAAACACCTGCCAAGATTGTCCAACAAGTGTACTTTTCTCTTCTCAAAACGAATCAAAACGAAGGACGGGCTTTGGTCACTCAAGCATTGGAATTAATTGCTCCAGTCCTACCCAAACGTTGCAATGCTGTACCTGGAGATCGCAACCCCGTATGGGCTGCTGCTCCACGTCGCATACTCGCGGAGGAAGGCAACAATGTGCAACAGATGACAAGCATTTTCAATTTCCTTGTGAAACATGCAGATCTTTTTTACGAATCTCGTGACAAGTTTATCAATCTCATAATTGGCTCCTTGCGAAAAATTGCGTTACCGCAAACAAATCCAAATCCATCCAACGAGAGCAAGAAGTTGGCACTGCATTTGATGTCATTGATATGGCAATGGGAAGAGCGCCGCGTTCAGGGGAAGTCAGCTTCTCCAGAAAGATCTTTGTCCGAATCCCCAAATACAAAGAAAAGAAAGCTCGACAGTCTCAACGAGGCTCAGACTTCGTCTCCGTCACCATCCCGACCTGGAGCTGCTTCGAATGATAAGCCAGAGTATCAGATACCCTCTGTGATGCGTGCAAAGATGATCAAGTATCTTGTTGAATTCATTGCCTCGCTCAATGAACGATACCCTCTACCATCCGCCCGAAGCCGAGATACAACAACGTCTCATGGACCAGCACAACCATCTCCTTCTGTGGAAATCTGCAAGAAATCTTTGTCTTTGCTTTGGAATCTTTTACAGCCCCAGTACTGGGGTGATCTTGACATTGATCTTTTCCCAAATGTTACGAAAGAAGTCCTCGCAAGTGACAAAGCGACAGCGGCCCTTGCAAACGAACGCCCTGATAAGGACAAGCCGGACGATAAATTTATCACAAATATTGTCAATACACTGCAAGTTGTTCGGATTGTTGTCAACGTAAAGCCTGTCAAATGGATTCTCGAGAAAGTGCCAGAAATCCAACATATTCTAGAGAAGGCACTGAAATCCGATAACCCAGAGATTCAAGATTGCTTGCATGCTGGCAACGAAAAAATCGACGATGGACGGAAATTGAGTCCTCTGCTCAAACGTATCTTAGAGGCAGTTCCCGATGATACCCCAATGGAAGATGCAGACGCAGAGTCGGAACCGGAAGCCTCAACTTCTGAGATCATAACCTTCCTATCTGCTATAGCTACAGAGACGCTCCAGGCTAATAACTACATATCTGGTCTCAACATTCTTTGGACTTTAGCCCAGAGGAAAGCATCGGAAATGGATCAGCATATCCAGCAAGTCATGAAAGCTTTGCAGCAGAAATTGGCGCGTGAGCATGTAGGCCATTACCAAGCATTAACGGGCCAAGGTGCAATTCCTGCCGCGATGCGACCTGGCGAGGTTGAACCTGTTGGTCTTATGACACCGTACGATCTGGAAATTCAAACTGGACTTACTCTCAAGGCCATTGACATAATATCATTACGCATGGATACTCTCGCTGACAATCGTCGTCCATTCCTGAGCGTCCTCGCAACTTTGGTGGAAAAGTCATTGAGTAATCCATTATGTCTCAAAATCTTGGATATGGTAGAAGGCTGGGTCTTTAAGTCAGATGGCTCCTGGCCTACTTTGAAAGAGAAGACTGCTGTACTGCATAAAATGCTGACTTTTGAGCAACGCACGGATCAGACGTTGTTGATGAAGTTCTTGGAGCTCGTCATTCGCATCTATGAAGATCCGAAAATCACGCGCACCGAGCTGACAGTTCGCATGGAGCATGCTTTCTTGATCGGCACAAGAGCACAAGACGTAGACATGCGAAATCGATTCATGGCTATATTTGACAGAAGTCAGTCCAAGACGGCAAGTACAAGGCTCAATTATGTCATCATTGGACAGAACTGGGATACTCTCGCAGATTCTTATTGGTTAGCGCAAGCTTCTCAATTGCTGTTAGGTGCTGTGGATTCTAATCACTACATCCACTTGCATTCGGATGACTTCAAGGTGATGCCTGCTTCAGTACTTTATGAGACTTATGCAAAAGACAATCGAACTCCTACCTTGCCACAAGACAATAGATTTGACAGTCTTATGGCATCTCACAGACGCTTTGTTGCTGAGCTAGGGGATGTCAAAGTACGAGATATTGTTGAGCCTCTGAGCCAACTTCAGCATCTTGATCCAAACATGGCTCATGAGATATGGGTGGCTTTATTCCCAATATACTGGATTGCCACGCCAAAAGATGAAAGAAGCGAACTGGAACGAGGCATGGTGACTCTACTCACGAGAGACTATCACTCGCGTCAAATCGATCGACGACCCAATGTGGTGCAATCTCTCCTGGAAGGTGCAGCTAAAGCGTGGCCCGAGTGTAAATTACCACCCCACGTACTCAAGTTTCTGGCAAAGACCTACGATGCTTGGTACACAGCCCTCGTACAACTTGAAAAAGCTGCTATTAAACCTGAGATTGAAAGCGAATTGGTTCGGGAAAGCAATCTCGATGCCCTTGTGGAATTGTATTCTGGGCTTCAGGAAGATGATCTTTTCTACGGAACTTGGCGCCGCCGCTGTGCATATGTCGAGACTAATGCTGCACTCTCATACGAACAGAACGGGATGTGGGATAAAGCTCAAACCATGTATGAACATGCTCAGATTAAGGCACGAACAGGGGCACTCCCCTTCTCACAAGGAGAGTACATACTATGGGAAGATCACTGGGTTTTATGTGCCCAAAAACTTCAGCAATGGGAAGTTCTTCAAGATTTTGCGAAGCACGAGAACTTCCCAGACTTGCTTCTTGAGAGTCATTGGAGGCAGTTTGACATTTGGCAAGAGGCTGAGAGTCGTGAATCATTAGACAACATCATCAAAGGTGTTATGGATGCGCCAACACCAAGGAGAACGTTCTTCCAGGGTTTCATGTCTTTGCTCAAGCTACACAAGAAGACTGAAACGCAAGCAGATTTCAACAAAGTCTGCGACGAAGCTATCCAACTTTCAATCCGCAAATGGCACCAATTGCCCAAACGCATTACCAACGCTCACATTCCACTGCTCCAAAATTTCCAACAGCTTGTAGAATTACACGACGCTAGTGTTATATGTCAAAGCTTATCGCAGACTACCGCTGCCAACCTGGATGTCAAATCGGGTGAACTGAAGCTTTTATTGGGAACTTGGCGTGATCGACTACCAAATGTCTGGGATGACATCACAGCTTGGCAGGACCTTGTCACATGGAGGCAGCATATTTTTGCTCTAATCAACTCAACATACTTGAATCTTCTTCCCCAGCAAGCTCCAAATGCCAATGGTGCATCCTTTGCCTATAGAGGTTACCATGAAACTGCTTGGATCATCAATAGATTCGCACATGTAGCCCGCAAGCATAATCTACCTGAGGTTTGCATCAATCAACTAAGTCGGATCTACACGTTACCAAACATAGAGATTCAGGAGGCTTTCCTCAAGCTTCGAGAGCAAGCAAAGTGTCACTACCAGAACCCTAACGAGCTGAACAATGGTTTAGATGTCATCAACAACACCAATCTGAATTACTTTGGCCCTACCCAAAAGGCCGAATTCTACACTTTGAAGGGCATGTTCCAGGAAAAGCTCGGGTTACGTGATGAAGCATCCGAGGCTTATGGAATGGCATTGTTTTTTGAGATCAAGCTTCCAAAGGCCTGGGCTGAATGGGGTTATTTCAATGATCGCTTGTTCAAAGCGAATCTGACTGACTACACGTTTGCCAGGAATGCCTTAAGTTGTTACTTGGAAGCAGCCGGGTTGTTTAAGAATGCGAAGTCTAGAAAACTCCTCACAAGAATTCTCTGGTTATTGAGTCTCGATGATGCTGAAGGTACACTTTCGAAACAATTTGATGAGTACAAAGGGGAAACACCGGTCTGGTATTGGATCACATTCATCCCTCAACTTCTCACAGGGTTGGGTCACAAAGAAGCTGCCAAGGCACATCTTATTCTGTCTAAAATCGCAAAACAGTACCCTCAAGCGTTGTTCTTCCAGCTCAGAACAAATCGTGAAGATATGCTTGCTATCAAGAAGACGCAGGAAATGAAGGAGGCTAAGAACAAGAGAGCCCAGACTCAAGCCCAAAACCATGCATCGAACGGTACCTCTAACCTCAAAACGGAAATCACCAACGGCGCAAGATCTGAAAGTGCCTCCGCATCACGGCCTGGGACTGCAAGTGCCGAGGCTGCTCCTTCGATCAAAACAGAGCCTGGAGAAACGAACGGAAACACTGCCAGTACAAACGGCGCTCCTGTCAACGGGGCCCCTGCTAATGGTACGGCGAGTGCTTCACAAGATGTCACAACATCTCAGGCACCTCAAAAGAGACCTCCTTGGGAGTACACCGAAGAACTGTTGGGAACTTTGAAAACAGCGTTTCCATTGTTGGCACTTTCCATGGAAGCGATGGTTGATTCTATTCAAAAGAATTTCAAATGTCCACCTGACGAGGATGCATATAGATTGATAGTAGCCTTGCTCAATGATGGGCTTTCTTATGTTAGCCGTACCCCATCTTCGTATGCTAAGGACACCAGACTACCGCCAGCGACAGAAGCAAACATCACTCGCTTTGCAGAGACTATTCTCCCCCCTCACATTAGAACTTCGTTCGAACAGGATTTCGTTAGGCACAAACCTACAATGTTCGAGTATATTCACAAGCTTAGGATATGGAGAGATAAGTTTGAAGAGAAACTGGATCGTCGCACCCTGACAATGCCGCTTGAAGGGTACAACTCTTATCTTATCGATTTCCGTTTCCAAAAACTCGATGAGATAGAAGTCCCAGGGCAATATCTTCTCCACAAAGATAAGAACCAAGACTTCGTTCGCATTGAACGATTCATGCCTGATGTGGATCTCGTGCGTGCAATTGGGGTCTGCCATCGTCGTATTAGAATTCGTGGCCACGATGGAAGTCTGCATCCCTTTGCTATACAGCATCCTGCGGCACGACATTGTAGACGAGAAGAACGCATTTTGCAGTTGTTCAGACATTTCAATGGTAGCTTAAGCAAACGAAAGGAAAGCAGAAGACGTAATCTGAACTTCCATCTACCGTTGATGATTCCTCTTGCACCCCATATCAGAATGGTGCAAGACGACCCAACCTATATCTCATTACAGGGAGTGTACGATGATCACTGCAGGAGAAATGGAGTTACTAAAGACGCGCCAATTGTGTTCAATATGGAAAAGCAGAAACTTTTATTCGATCAAAAAGTAAGTTTCACGGAGGACGGTACCTACCAAGTTTCTATAACTGACTTTGCCAAGCAAAAGACAAGTATCGAACAATCTGCCACGGCTAAGCTCGAGACTTTTGCTGCTATTCAAGAACGATATGTTGGCCCATCCCTTGTTCTTGGATATTTTACGGAAACCTACCCATCGTTCTCCGAATTCTGGCTGTTCCGAAGACAGTTCTCTTATCAATATGCAGCTCTTACATTTATGACGTATATTCTACATATGCATAATCGTTATCCTCACAAGATCACAATTTCACGTGCCACAGGAAACATTTGGGGATCCGAATTGATGTCGTGTATGGCAGCAGGCAAAGCACTTTTCCACAACCCTGAGCCTGTGCCATTCCGCCTCACTCCCAACATTCAGACACTTATGGGACCATTGGCTACTGAGGGTATTTACAGTTGTGCCATCATGGCTATTGCACGATGCCTCACTGAACCTGAGTTTGAACTCGAACAGCAACTCTGTCTTTTCGTACGCGACGAAATGATATTCTGGTTCACGAGCAGCCATAGAACTACCACCAAAGATACTGATTTGAGGGACGCTGTTCAGATAAATAGTGACATGATCGTTAAGAGGGCATTGAGCATAGCTAAGTCGCCAGAAGGTGCGTTACCTGCTAACCAGACGGTCATTGACTTGATTGCCAAGGCAGTCAATCCCATGAACCTTGCGCAATGTGACGCTCTGTGGATGCCATATCTATGATCTTAAGGGTTGAAATTTTGAGATGTGAACACGAAAGGGAAGGAGAAGGAGACTGCTAGGGGATTCTGTGTATTTTCTCAAACGTTTTAGGCGTCATTGGCTGGTGTGTAGGAATAGAAGCTTGCTTGGCTAGTGAGCGGGGGGGGGGGGAATCGGAAGGTTAATTTATGGTTGGTTTAATTATTTTTCGGCGTTCATCTTGGGGGAGATGCTAGCGAGTTAACGGGAGGCATAAAAGTGAGGATAGTGTGGATTTAGATTAGGGTGGCATGATATAATAATCAGGAGAGTGTTTTTGATATTTTCAGTGAGGGAATGCCCATGTAGATAGTATTCTCATAGCCCTTGCCATGAATATAACTACGCTTCTTAAAAGCGACAAGTAGCCTATTTTACTTTCGGTGACAGTAGAGTTTTACCCACTCACTATCGAAGCACGACGCATACATTCCACGTGAGCGGTCATTGAGGGCAAAGTCGCCTTGCAAGGCTTCAGACAATTGCTGCGGAATAATGTGTCTTCTCATCGTATGTAATAAACTTATGCAATATCAAGGCACAAATAATTGGATCTTCTTCTTTCTCCTTACCATATTTTCGCAAAAACATACACATCACATCATAAACTTCAGTATCAAATTTTATCTTTGTATTCCATCTTCATTTATCCATTCTATCTAGCAAGGCATTCAACCGAGCCAATAACATCCAAAAATTTCCTGATCCAATCAAGAGACTCATTGTCATCTCATGGGAGGTGTAGTTTACCAATACCTCATTCACCATCCACGCAAGCTATGCAGATACACCCATAAAATCCCATCAATTTGCTCCTTAACTCCGAAGTACTGATATTTTAAATAGTCCTCATCAACCCTTATCTGTCGTCCTGACCCTTTAGGGGATATACCTCTTCGTGGACTTTGTTGTTTCTGTTATACAAACAGTTTCGTCGTGTTTTCTTTTGCTTTTCTTTTCTATCATTGTACACATACATATATGCAAAAAGCCTCCTCGGTTTTGCCGATTACTTCCTTCAAGTGGTCTAGGTAGCTCATCGTTTAAGCATATATCCCAAATTGGGCAAGCCACCCACGATTCTCTTCACAATCTCATCCTGCTCCATTTCAAATTTAGTCTTTGAATCATGATTTGCATAGGTAGGGACCGGAGGTGAGAGTATAGATTTAGGCGAAGGAGTAGAGAAGGTAACGGTCTTAGGTTTTGGTGGAGCTGGATAAGATTGAGGTCTTGGTTTTGTGGTTTGTTTGGACAGTAACATAGGGGCAGGTCCTGTTGCGATTGCCGGTGCAGGAGTTGGTGCATCGAAGAAAGAGAAATCGACTGACGCCCAAGGATCCTGCATGCTGGTTGAGGGAGGTGGCATCGAGGGACTCGAGGGTTGTGACCAGTTACTTGTGATTGGTGGGGCTGATACAGAGGTGCTAAAGGGAGGAGGTTGAGACCAGGTATCTGTGAAGGTTGTGTTTAATGGTGAGGACAAGATAGGTTGTGGCGAGTGATCGGAAAATGCTGTGGCTGACAGTGCCGGTGACGGAGGGGGTAGCGCAGTTGATTGAATTGGCACTGGAGTAGTGGCTGGGGTAGACCACAAGTCTAAAAATGAGGGATTCGAAGATATAGGGGATGGAATAGTACCGGATAATTGCGGGGAGCGTAATGCTATAGGGCTTTTAGATCCAGGAATTTGTTCGAGCCTTGATTTTGGGTTTAGACCAAATCCAGATTGAAGCTTTGTAACCTGGGGATTTGGAAGAGTAATAGAGTTGGCAAGTGTATCTCCAAGGCTCATCGACTTCTTATGCCTCAAACCTCGGGTGGGAAACTTCGGAGCCTCAGTAACAATGGGCGAGGAAACCATTTCGCCCCATTCATCATCATTTTCATCATCGTCTGAATCGTTAGAAATGAAGGCTAAATTAGCAGGTTTGCCGTTCGAGCTATTTGTAGACGGGGGTGGCATTGAAATTGGTCGGGGTTTCTTGACCGCTTGGACAAAGCTTGGGGGTGGTTCGATTGGAGATTTGGGTGCTGGACTGGGTAATGCAGGACTTAATTGCCCAAAACTTCCAAGGGTAGAGTTCATCGGGAGGGTGAAGGTTTTCATGAAAGATCCTGTATCTGGGGGGGTAATACCAGAACCAGAAGCTGTCTGCATCGCTGGTGACGAAGCCCACCCAAATTGTGCAACGGGAGGCGGTGGCGGTGCTTTTACATCAACACCCGAGTCCACTGAATTGGTCGAGCTGCGTTCTCTCGGTTTCGATGGTGAACGAGACTTGAACCTGGATTGATCTCGAGTTACCTCTTTCGACGATTTCCTAGGAGTATCAACTGGTTCCTTAGCGGCTACCTTCGCTTCGAGCTTCACACTCTTTCGTTTCGAGCCAAGAACTGTTGCTAATGGAACAGGTGGTGCGTTTGGATCATTCCAGCCAAAAAGAGAACCACCTTTGCTTGTGTCGCCAAAACCAACATGTCCATCATTTCGATCTTCTTCCATCCATCTGGCCACTATCTTTTGGGTCTCTTGCTTAACCTGAGATGGAGCCCATGAGATCCGAACATAGTTTTCATCGTCTCCAGTGTTGTGTTTTCGCATAGTGCCATACCTTGATACTCTATACCACATCTTTCGTTCCTCAGTAGATGCGAAAGTATCAGCAATGATAGTATCAGGTATAAAAATCCTTTCGGCTACTTCATCGTGTTCTTCCTTGGCTTCCCCGAACAATGTCTTCATGGAAGTCAGGTCGATAGAGAAATCAACGGGTCCTGTCGGTCTTTTCGGTGAGCGCATTTTCGAAGATTCGTTTTGTGGTGTAGCCAATTCGGATGAAATGGGTTGCTCAATCGAATTGTGATTTTCCATAACTTCTTCGCCATCATCCGAAAACCCCTCTTCAAAATCTCCAAAATCTCCGAAGTCGTCATCATCTGGCTCTTCAGCTTTGGAACTCTGTTCTATTTCTTCTTCATCCTCTGGAACTTCTGGCTCTTCAGCATTGGAGAACTCTTCTATTCCATCATCCTCTAGAACTTCCGACTTCGTTACAGAGGCATGTTCATTATCCAGTTCCGTCGAACCATCAGTTTCCTCTTCTAATCTGGCATCTTCCGCAACAAGCTCGTCTTTTTGCTTCGCTGGGTCATCGAATTCTTTAGCTGGCTCCTGGACATCCGGCGATACAGCTCTTATGGTTCGAGACCTTTTCGGTTCTTCATCTAAGGATGTTCGTGGTGAATCTGGCAGAAGTCCATCGTGATGACTTATGTCAGACGGCGAAGAAGACGGTCGCGAAGATTCATGCTCGGGCACCTGTGTCGATGGCAGAACAGTGTCGTCTGATTCATGATGTTCGTCTTCGATGATTTCGGTGCATAGATCACTCTCAGGTTCTAAATCAATACCTAGTCCAATTGCTTCCTCATTATCCGTATTCATTCCTCCTATTACCGGTTGAGCTGTTTCATCAGAGAGAAGTTCTACTGGCTCGAATTTTGTCTCGTCGGAATCCTCGGGTTGAGGCACAATTGCTTCGAATGCCTCGGGAGACTCTACTTCGGAGTCCTCATCAGTGGCTTCTGCGATGGCCTTTTGAAAAGTGTCAAGATTTGTAGTTGTAGCCCCTGAATTAGGCTTGTCTTCAACCTTCGCGGACTCCTCAGAATGAACCGCGTTTGCCCAAGGATCCGGAGATGGTTCTCGAACAATTGCAACAGGTTCTGCCAAAAGACTCGGTGATAATTTCGGTGCTGCACGCGCAGGACTTGGAGAAGAATTACCCCAACCAGGCGATAATGCTCCAACATCATCCTTTACCACCTCCAATTCTCTTCCACGACTTGGTGTATCCCATTGTTCTGCTGCGCCGTCCAAACCCAAACCCCCTTTCTTTTTCCCTGTGTCCTCTTCCCAATCACCAAATCCATCGTCCGAAGTATCCCAAGTCGCATTAACGTTATTTCTCAAAGCTTCACTTGCTTTTCCAACCTGATTTCCATCTGCTACATTGTCAATGCTTCGAATCCCCAAACCATCATCATTATTCAATTCGTCGGCCCACGGTGAGCCCCAAGGGTCGTCCATATCCATTCACATCCCCCTTTGAAAACCTCTTTCATATTGATGTTCTTTCGACCATCATCTGCAGATCCGTTCGTATATATTATTTATGCTTATGTTGACTAGAAAAGCGCAATTTCGTGTATTGTAGTATTGTTACTCGTATTAATTTCGAGCTCCAAGGGTTCAGGGTCAATCAATTTGACAATTCATCTGTTGTAAGACCCGGCCCCGTAACGTTGCTAAAGCCTAACAATGCACGCTAAAAGCGTCATGGATCAGATTAGTGATGGATTTTCAGCGGATTAACAGTAATTGATTAGCAACATCGGATTGATAAGCGATAAGAATTTCAATATTCTACCCATCTATGTATTGATGATATGTCAAACAATGCGACAATGACTAGAACAATACATTTTACCATTTTTATTTGATTCTCTATATCTCCAAAGATGTCTTTAGATAAAGTGAAGCACATTGTTCTTGTAGGTATCCTAATGCAATCATAGTACACATCATCAATTAACAAAGAACCTCACAGGTCCTCTCCGGTAAAGGAGGAGTTGGAAAATCCTCCGTCACAACCCAACTCGCCCTCTCCCTATCTCTAGCCGGTTCCTCCGTCGGAATCCTCGATATCGATTTAACCGGGCCCTCCATTCCCCGTCTCTTCTCCCTCGAATCTGCCAAAGTAACCCAAGCACCCGGCGGCTGGATCCCCGTCCCCGTTCACCCCTCCAACCCCTCTTCCTCCATCGGCGCCCTATCATGCATGTCTCTCGGCTTTCTACTCCGAGAACGAGGCGATGCAGTAGTATGGCGCGGACCGAAGAAAACAGCTATGGTTAGACAATTTCTCACAGATGTGTTATGGGGCGAACTCGATTACCTTCTCATTGATACCCCGCCTGGTACATCGGACGAGCATATTTCGCTGGCGGAAACACTTCTCAAGAATGCATTTCCGGGCCAAGTCGCCGGTGCGGTGATTGTAACGACGCCGCAGGCTGTGGCAACGGCAGATGTGAGGAAAGAATTAAATTTCTGTACGAAGACTGGAATACATGTTATCGGAGTGGTGGAGAATATGAGTGGATTTGTGTGTCCAAATTGTTCGGAATGTACAAATGTATTCAACAGAGGAGGTGGAGAGGTTATGGCCAAAGATTTTGGAGTACAGTTCTTAGGACGAGTTCCGATTGATCCTCAATTCGGAATGTTGGTAGAAGCAGGCAGAAAACCAGTATATCCGGAAGGAACGCTAGTAAATGGCAAAGACATGAGTGGTGCCCAAAACGATGCTAATACTGTTGGGGATGACGGGCTTTTGGTAGAGAAATATCGGGACTGTTCTCTATGTCCAATATTCAAGGATATAACTAAACAGGTTATGGATGCTGTAGAAGGAAAGGCTCCAGAAGAGACGCCGAGTGCTTGAGATTTGGTTTGGTACGATAGGCGGCATAATTGCTGGTGTTGGGGATTTTGAGCATTTATAAGACGATTACTAGAAGGACAAATCTAGCGTCCCAAAAGGATGGATTTAAATGATTACAATGAGTACCTACATTGAATGAATATACGACTGAGATATTGCGATGCGATTTGGGCTATCTAAGTACCTAGGTAGATATTGCCATTAACTTCAAATCAAATGATCATGTGAACTATATGCATTCTCACCTAAGCCTATTCAGCGGAATAGCAAGTTATTGCTCGATATGATCACAGACATTAACAATTCACCAATCTAAACAAATGATTACAGATCTCTCCCAGGCGCATACCATTACCTTATGTAACGTATCACTCAGGGCTTATTGTTCATAGTGAGCACCCCCTATGATTTTCGCTTAAGACATCTCGTAGAAGGACTCAGGTGGCTTAAAACAATAAACATCTCTGATTTGTTTCTAAATCTTCTTTATTTATCTTGCAAATTCACAATAAGTACACATGAATTATACACTGTAACACAATCTTATATTTTGTGTTCAAATATTACATCCAAATCCAAAGCGCCTCGTCATATCTCCACCTTCAAATGTACCACTCCCTATGTTATCATACCATCATGGACCCCGCAACCTAACAAGCCATATTCATACCCAAGTTCCTCACTTCGCCCTCCATAGCCCCCGCATTATTTGCTTCAACATCAATGTCATCCAAATCCTCCTTATCCTTAATCATCCAGAAAGCCTTGACTCCCTCCGCAAATCTCAAACTACTCTTCTGCACCTCCTCTTCCTCCACAGCCGCAAAACACAATCTGAAATATTGCCAACCCCTCTCCTCCGCAATTTCCGGCGTGGGACTAAAAATCGCACCAGGAGCTGCGAGGACGAGATGGGGCTTCATAGTTAGGAAAATCCACAGCACTCTCGCCAATTTGGACCCGGGGACTTGTTTGGCCAATGGATGAGTATCGAAATGCATATGAATCCATACGAACATTCCACCGCGCGGCCAGTCAAAAGAATACATCTTCGTCTTGGTAATGACTGCCCATTCGGAATCGGAGATGGCTTTGGAAGTGCCTTGTTTGACGTGGTAGCGACCATCTTCGAGGGCTGCACACATTCTATTCATACGTCTTTCGTATGTGCCTCTCAAGCCCTCTAGCCAACGTACCCAACCGTCAGTCTTCCACCCTGTGAATGTGAGCTGTTCATTTCTGGATTTCTTGCTAAACTCAGCAGAAGCAGCTTGAGGACCCATAACCAATTCCGCAATCATTGCCTGAACGAACCCAGATGGGGGTGAAGTGGTGCATTCCGTGATTCGCAAAAGACGCTCTACGACAGCTGGCTGTGCCGTTATCCAACCTAGACGACATCCCGGCGCTACCGTTTTCGAGAACGTATCGAGACGGATTACTCGTCCATCGTAATCGAAATTTAGATATGATGGGACGAGACTATCAAGATATGCGTACCCGGTGGAATTCTTGAACGTGTGCACTGGTTCTGGCTCGGGTAAAGTCTCACTGCGAGCTTCTGCTTGCAGTCCCGCCGCGGACGGAAATTGGAGGTACCAATATGGATCATCTTCAATAATCATTACATCGTATTTACTGCAGATGGCGTAAAGTTCTTTGCGTCTTGGGATAGACAGAGTACCACTAGTGGGGTTCTGACCAATGCTATTTTACACAGTGAGTATCGATAACAATAAGGAAGGTATGACAATACTTACGTGATGGTATACATCATATGAGGTCTTCTACCCTTCGAATCATCCCAATTCTCGAGTACATCTTCGAGACTACCAGGGCCCGTTGGGATCATTCCCTCAAGATCAATCTTGACCGGAACAACCTGTATACCTCCTAAGAAAAGTATCAGTAACTTTACAATCTCTCCATTTTCAAACCCCGCAAATACTAACTTGGTCTACAAGCCTGAACAGCCGTCATATAAGCGAACTCTTCACAAAGTATCCCCGGCCTCTCTCTCACCCAATCTCTCTCCTCACTCCAAACATTACTCAACGCCTCAATCGCCTTCGAAAACCCATCCGTCGATCCACACGTCAACAAAATCTCCGCACCGCCCTTATACGGAATATTCGGATGCAAATTCTCGCGCGCAAACTGTCGCACAAAAGAATACAACGGCGGATACCCCTGCGCCTGTCCATACTGCAACGCCGTCGTTAAATCAATTTTCTGCAGCGGATTCGGCGTCGTTGATAAATGGGGAATTAACAAATGTCTCGAAGCATCCGTCGCCGACTTTTTAATCGTCGTCGCGGCGAGCTTTTGCGAAAGCTCGCCCGCTCCATTGGGGCCGTTCGGACTGGGTGTGAATCTTTCCGGCTGTGCAATCTGGGCTTCTAGCGTATCGTAGGGAAAAAATGCCGCGTTGGGAAGACCTGAGACAATCGATTAACATATTGGTCGGCGTGCAGTATCTAGCTGCCGCTGCTAGTGGAACACTGTAGCGTGGCGAATGCCAGCTTGAATGAAGCTTACCTCCAGCCAAATTTCCTATTCCGGGAATCTGGAAGAACTTGTAGAAACTTTTTACGGCGCTCTCTTGACGAGCCGCCGTTACGCGGGAAAAATGATGGCTTAAATCTAGAGGTGGTTTGGCATCTTCATGTTCTTGATACATGCTCTTGATTCCATTCGCGAGAAGGAATTCCGGGGTTTCCATTCCATTGTTCGCCATTTTAGATAGGAATCGATATGGTATAAAGATGCAAGTATTCACAATTGACAAAAACCAATACTCACAACAGATAATAAGATACAATCTATGAAGAAAAGGAAAATGAATATACATTCGATTTCTAGCTACCTAGATACCTACTTACTCCGTATCAATATTTGCTTACTGATAACGTATCAGTGCATCCACTGGAGTTTACAAAGCAAGCTCTAGGAGTTCCCACACCATAATTAGTTACACCGAACCGATAAGCTTTTCCGAAAGACCGCCCCTTATTCCGTTACTCCGCCGAAGCTTAAAGGTGGAGAGGCAACATTGGGGCAATAAAGAGAGATGCTCCTCTTCATATCAATCCCTTTTCATAAATACAAGTCCTGAGTTCTAAGTTATCCGCTTTGAAATGCGTCAAAAGAGACCTGAATAATCCGCCATCAAACCCTAACGTGCTAACATCTCAATTCACGATCTTTCTATCAAAAGCAAATGTTATCTAAATCCCGAGTTTCTTAACAGTCACTCTCGATAAAGGTGCTGAGTGGCAATTGCTCTATCTAACCTTGTCTATTCGTAATGACCAAACATCTGCAAACAACGAAGCACGGAAAGACGCCATTATGATGTGCAACCAATTGATCGTTCTTTCGAACTCCACATCCATGAATCTTAATGACTTCATTCCAGCCTTACTTAATAGCGATCCCCCACACAGCAGCCAAAGCTCGAATTGCTTCACGATTGTACCTCTTACCATTCTCGAGAATATCATCCATCATCATAAAAGTATCTAGAACGATCAATCATTAGTGCTTTCCATGTATGTAGTCGAAGAACAAAGTAAAACTCAATTGAGAAGTGAAAAAGATATAAAAGAGAGGAATGCAAACAGACAGTAAAAATAAGGGGTACACGAAAGGAACCGATTGTACTTACGAGGCATTCCTTTCATACAAATAACTTCGGCGTGAGAACCTGCAGCAATCATCTTTTCGCCGTAAGCTTTACCTTCATCTCTCAGAGGGTCCATCTCCGCCGTCATAATGAGAGCCGGTGCCAGCCCCTCAAAGTTGTTCGCTAGCAGTGGGGAGACTTTCCAATTCTACCATTCACTCGTTAACATGTGAATCATTAAGGGGTAACGAAAACTTGCATTATAAGTATCCCGATCCCTCTCTCCTCCCAGAAATTTTGCCGCAAACCATTCCATCCTAGCCACCGGCAACGGCACCGTAAATTCCATCTCCCTATAACTAGGGTACCGATCCCATCCCTCCTCCGTCAACTTTCCATCCGCTCCATATCCATCCAAATCCACAACCGGCACGCCCAATAATTGAAAACTCAACGGCATTCCCTCATTCCTACAAACATGACTCACAACCGCCGCCAACATACCTCCCGCGCTTATGCCTCCCACCGCAAACCTCTGCCTATCCAAATTTCGCTTCTGGACCATCTCATCCGATTCAATCCATTTAAAAGCCTCAATACAATCATCCACTGGGATAGGCCATTGATATTCCGGCGCCAACCTATAATCCACATCAAAGACCACACAACCCAATTCCCCAACCAATCTCTTACAAAACTCCATATCCGTTTCCAAGCCCCCGAAGACCCACCCCCCACCGTGAAAATTGATGTACGCGGGTCTTGGTTTCCCTTCATTAACAGTTGGAGCTGGTTCGAAAATCCTCACTGTGATGCTGTTCTTTCCATCGCTAGATTGTGTGACTGGACATTGAACATCGGTGATTGAATGTACGTCCGGTGCTATAGCACGTCCGTATACGATGTTGTATTTGCGAGGATTGGCCCTAAACTCCTTGATTGGAATTTGATGGGTGGCCAATCGTCCCGCTGAGTAATGGGCATAATATTTTGCGTAGACGGGATCAAACCGGGGAAGAAGATCAGGTGGAATACTGTTGATAAGAGGTTGAGATATGGCTGCTGGTTTGATGTCTGTGGAGGGTGATATATCTTCCCCTGGAAGATGAAAGACGTTTGGGTAAGGCATCTGTGAATATGAGGCTTCAATTGTCTTGGAGAGCACTGTGTATCATACGAAATGGTGTATGAAATATTAACTGAATATCTATTGGTATATGAGATTGATGAAAAATGCAGTTGCTGCCTCCACCCCGCGCCACAGATGTGTTGTCGTTATCGAATATTCCCCGCAGATGCTTATCGGATGGTTCGGATGATTCCGCCACTAAAGCAATTCTGCGTCGTGACTACCGGTTTGCATGCATCGGAGGTTATTGATGCAGTGAAATGTCACATCCAATGTGTTGTATGTGAAAGCCTTACAATTTGTCATGTAAACACTTCGCTGTCAATAAACTGGAGCCATGCTCTAACTTTGACAACGGAGGAGAACAAACATATATCTCTTCCCAATAAGCCGCTGGGCTTAAAGCAAACTACACTTGACCTACGCTGCTGAAATTCTTGGCCAACCAAGTGTACTGCCTTGTTAAGGAATGATTGTTTTCCGGGAAAGTAAGTATGCATTGAGCTTGGCGGCAGACTTCATCTTAGAGTCTGCGTAGGTGGCAGCATTTTGAAGAGTACCTCTGAATTGCCCATTTAGACAAGGGTCAAATATCGCAATTCAATCAACAAATCTTGCGCTCATGACGGTCCAAAAACAGTGACTATTCCATCGGTACCAGCACAGCACCATTGGTCCCCTTTGCCATTTTCTTTCCAGGCGATGGCACTGATAACGTTCGTACGTTCTTTCTCTTTACCATCCCGACCAATCTTTTTCTTGCCTTCGGCTTCCGAACCTTCAACTTTGATCCTATGCAAAACATTTCCAGTCAAGGTTTCCCAGACCACGACTTCACCATCTGGTCCCTTGACATTCTCATTCCCCGATAGCACCCACTTCTCATTACCTCCAAAGCAACTTCTGACTCTGAACTCCTCATTCTTAAATCCCTCATCCTTATAAGTCTTCAAACATCCTCCACTCTCCCTATCCATCAACCTAACACACCCATCCAAGCTCCCCACCAAAACACCTCTCCCATCCCTCGTCCTCATCAAGCTCGTCACACTCCGTCCAATAACATCAGTCTCCAACGTCCCAGCCCTAATATCATACCACCTAACCCTCTCATCCACACTCCCACTAACAATCTCATACTCCCCACCCCCATACCCCTCATCCCCTCCCTTCCCCGCCAAAACAACACTAACACTATCCCTCGCATCCTCCATAACCATCACCGGCTTCATGCTCCCCGCTCTGATATCCCAAATCCTCACACTCCGATCAAATCCTCCACTAACCAACAAGCTCTCCTCGCTTCCCGCAAATACGACACTATTAACCCGGGATGTATGTCCATTATTCCCCCCAAACTTTCGAATCGTCTTCGCTGTCTGAACATCCCAGAGAAACACGCTGCGGTCACCGCCGCACGATGCGAACGTAGCGTTTGTTGACGCGACTGCTATGGAGAGGACTTCATAACCATGCGCAGAATAAGTTTGGATCAATTGGCTAGGTTTGGGAGGTTGATGAGGAGCGACAGATTGAGAAGAAGCTGCGGATCGTGAAGGGTTATACAGTCGAATATTGCGGTCGGCGGAGCCCGTTAAAATATACAGCGAGGGAGAAGATGAGTATGTTAATGCGTGGACCGGTCCTTTGGTAACGAATTAGTTTTGGTACTTCCCTAAGAGATGCAAAGCTTATACACACCATTGGATCCAGTAAGTTGCGTCAAAGGCTTGGAAGGAAATTCCATTCTGGTTGTAGAAGTTTCATCGCATCATTGTGGATTAAGATATAAAGTCCTTAGATCATACACAAACAGATTCAACACTATCATCGCACATCATTAAAGCATCATAAGAAATTCTGATACTCCAAGCTCATTCTGCCTACCTGTTTCTCACCGCCAAAACCTTCAATTTTGATGCCTCATATGCAAGGCTTCAGGAGACATAACGACATCCATGGATAAATCACTGAGCTGCTAGAATTGATATTTTATAGTTTGCCTTTAATTTAGCCTATATATATTTTATAGCAGACTTTTGAATATAGCAAGGGTCTCTGAAATTAGACTTTCATCAAGTAATAAACATTCTCCCGATATTCTGTCTATTACACCGCACATGAAAGTCAAAATGGGTGATTCCCGTTCGAGACCATCACTAAAGAAAAGGATTGAATCATGTTCTTCAACTGTGCGGTGATAGGTATTCGGTGCAATATGATTACCGATTGTTGCCCTTTGATGCACCAACTTTGAACACCACCGTTGTTTCCTTCATGACAATTCCTCCATCTTCCTAATCGAGAGCTCGAACCTCTTGGATTTTCTCCTTCGCACATCCGGCAATCATCGACAAGTCCGTTTTATAGCATCACCTGATCGGCACAAAAGCCACTCCTCTATGGTGCGCTACTCCTCACCTCTAGTTCCATCCTGACTCCCGCCTCAATACCCACCGAACCAAGACCAACACCAACACCAACACCAAAACCAACTCCCTATCTTAGCTCCTCCTCTCTTATCTACCCGACTCACCATCCCAATCCAGTTCCCCCTCGCCTTTCCCTCGTTCTAGAAACCCACGTCAAAACTCCGGTCTCCCAACTCCCATCCCCTAACTCTTAGCACCTCATCTACCGCCTAAGCGTCGGCACCACTACCGAGTCATCTGCGCTGCCCCAATCCCAGATCCATACCCACACCCATCCCAAACAAACAAGCCCTCTCTACGTGTCCCCTTCCCTCAAAAATCCCAGCCCACCGGTACACACTAACCAAGTTTCTCCACCCTCACTAACCCAAAACACCTCGCACTCACCCAAACTCTAAAAACGAGCGATGGGCATCGCTTCCGCTCTCCTGAAGCAGTTAGAACTTTCAGCTGCCGAGCGGCTCCTGCATATCCCAGACCCAGCTCGGCATTTCCAGAAGCCAGATAAATCCCGACCTAGGAGATTATTTCGTTTCCGCTGTGTAACTTAGCTCATCGACTGCATTTAGTCCACCGGCAAACGTCAGAGTCGGTCGATCTTGACGTAAAGCGTATAGACACGGTTGTGAAACTCGATGTACGGACGTAGTGGTGTGGCAGTGGTACCTAGAGTGGTGTAGATAGTGTATGTAATTTGTGGGTTTGTGGGGTGCTACGGAAGTTGGCTCTCCACATTGAAAGATCGTCGATTTTGAACAGATTGAGTTGGAGAAGGATGGGGGTGTGCTCGGGCTTGGGCGGTTAAAAATGTTTGAAGAAGGAAGTGAAAGTGTTTGAGGCGGTGGTGGAGGCATCAGATGTTCTGTGAGGTTATTACTTGTAGTGGTGAAGATGAGTTCCTAGATGTTGAGGCATATTAATGAAGGGTAAATGTGTTGTCAGTTTGTCACAGTAGTCATATTGAAGAGCTGGAGAATGTAGAACATGTTTGTAGTTTATATATACACAATCCATAGTTTGACTATTGGGACAAGATGAAACAGATTTTCAAGGTGATAAATGAAATGTCATTGATGTAAACTGATTGAGAACTAAGAATCCGGTATGTACTGTATTCCATACCTATGCCGCTGCCTCGCTATGCAAGATGCTCTCATAATCATCCAAAATGCAAAATGCAAATGCATAGCAATCCCAAACGCCTCTTGGTATCATTCCATTCTCCTTCAGAGGACCCGTCATCAATATAATAAAAATGTAATAATGTACAAGAACAACCCTTAAAAATGCATTTATATTTGTGGATAAATGCCATCGTTTTCACGAGAGAAAGTTTTCTCCAATGGTTCTCTCATCTCAAAAATTCCAGCGCTAGATTGTTTAGCAGAAGCTGACCAGCTCCTGCGTTCGACTTCAATCAAGTCACTCACGCGTCCCGAGACGAGTGCTTCCTGTATCCTTGCCATCTGCCAGAACTGTGCAATCTCGGCAATCACTGATTGTGCGCCAGAGAAGGAGTCGATGATAGAGGGTATTGAAGCTTTATGTGTTTTAGCCGAGAGAATATCGACTGCAGAGAGAATAGCATATCCCACGAATGGTGAGGAGAATTCGATGGAAGTATTTGAGCTTGGCGATCTCATGCCGGTAGATTCACGACGATCAGCTACCACATCCATGATTTTCAGGAACTTCTTTGCTTGCTCCTCAGCTATAGAAATGTAATGAGAATGTTGTGACTTGTCAAGATTGTAAGGTTGAACATATCGATGGAGCTTCATGAATGTTGTGTGATACACTGCATGCATCGTTATGTAGGAGCCCAGTTCTCCACCATCGGACATTCTTCCCATTGAGTCCGCTGGGATAACAAAGCGGTTCGGCAGTGTGCTTTTCCAACTTGAGAGACGATCCACTGTAGATCGATAGAACTCATTGAAATCAGAGCTCCTTATTGGTTGTGGTCGTTGTGAATTGCTGTATATTTTGGACATAACATCACCCCAAATCGTTGCCACGTTTATTAGGTATGCCATTAAGTTCAAAGTCCGTGGATAGTCTAGGGATCGCGGGTTTAAAACTTCAAAAAGAGGATTTTGAACATTGACCTGATTTTCGAAGCTCTCCTCATCGCAAGGTAGGCGAAGGTATACGTGTTTTGGTTCAATCATGCTCAGATGTCCAGAGCAGAATCCATTGAATCTATCCATGAGATAACAACTCCAAAAGGTTCGTCGTCTGCACTCCGCATATCCACTGAAGTTGAGCCCGAAGGGAAAACTCTTGCGGTAAGCATCGTCACTCTTCTCTATCTCTATATTCAACTTCAAGCCTGTGGCGGCCCTCACAGCGGACCCACAGAAATCCCATGAATCATTAGGGTTGTTGATTGCAAAATAGTATAAAGCCAATAACAAACGAGCCTGAACTAATTGAATACCAATGTGACGCCTGTCGCATGCATATCTGGCGACTTCAGCATATCGTGCCGCCAGATGCTTGTGTTGAGATCGAGGTGAGAATACTGCTCCAAGGGCAAGTATGGAATAAATGAGCATGAGGTCATTCAAGGACTTATCCTTGGTGGAACGGGCCCAGCCTGTGAATTGATTTTTTGGAAACATGAATGAGGCGGTCTCTGGCACGTGTTTGAAGAAAGTCGACAACAACTCGTTAGCAAGATCTGTGTTTGCAGAGTGGAACGGATCATTTTGCCACTCCGTTTGTAAGGTATGATCGCTCAATCGATTACTTTCTGGCTCAGCCCACGCAGCTCTTGGGGATGTTGCGTCTTGAACAGAAAGTCGTGGTGAAGCTTCTGATGCTACCGGAGTGTAATCATTATAGCCGTTGCGCTGTCTCTTGGTATGCTGCTCTACTTCCGGGCTTGCTCGGCGTAAGTTTTGTCGCGGCGAGACTGAATGGCTCCCTTCACGTTCCTCGACTCTGAAAGATTCACCGTCAGTCAAAGAAGAACCTGGCCTAGGCAGGCTATCCTCCGAGTCAGCTGGGGGCGTATCTGGGGAGTTGTGACCTCCTCGGGGACTGTTGAAAGACTACCATCAGCAAAAGCGGGATAAATTATGAGGCAGGACAGTATCTGCACAAGTGACATAAACGCCACTTTGATTATGCTAACTTACGCATTCTTGAACTTGCACACCCTGCCGAACTTGTCGCATTGCACACACCTAGGGTAGTCTGGATCGCATTTGATCTTCTTCTCCCTACAAGTGATACACGCAATTGCAAGTCTCTTTCTTGGCTTCCCCGCTTTGGTGACTCCCCAATGAGCATTTACATTCTCTCCATCAATTACTGTCTTGCAGTGAGTTCCATCGTCGTAGAAATAGCACATTCCTTCACCTGCAACGTCGGCTTGTCTGACGAAACGAGGTAAAAATTGAGTTCCTGTCCAGATCTTGGGTCCCAGACCATCCTTGACCGTCACGGGCTCGCCCATTGCAGTACCAGCAGGTGTGGGAATGTAGTTTCGTTGAGCTGGGGCATGATCACGATAGAATTGTCTAGTCTCGTGTTCAGATCTAGAGACATGATGTTGGTGTCGGTATTGATCAGGATGAGCCCTCAGAGCTGGAAACTGATCTTGTCGAGGAGATTCGGAGTGAGGTGACCAATTGTTGCCCGGAGGCATTTGACCTTGACGTGGGTCATGGTTGGGGTATTGGGGTGCGTATCGAGGAGATTCTGGCATAGATCCCAAGTTGGGACGAGTAGATGGAGCAGGATAACCTAGCCTATCGAGCGAATCTGGTCGAGAGGCGTGTGTATACTGTCGTGGTGCTGAACGTTGAAAGTTTGCATCAAATGGGCGGTCTTGATGTAAAGGTGTAGTAGGTAGACGACCATCTTGAGGGGATGAAGATGGAAAGATTGGGCTCTGTCTCTCAGAGTATGGTGATTGCGCAGGTCTACTTGGAGGTGGTGCGCCGCCAAAAAGACTGGTTATTGATGGGAGTTGCTCTCGAGGAGCTGCACTATGGGCTGGTTGGTACATGTCACCTCTCCTTGCGTGGTCGAAAGGTCCTTTGAGTTCAGAAACAGGGGACCGTGGTAGTGAGGTATTATTGTCACTTCTCTCGCGCAAAATGTTTACTCGCTGCTCAGAAGTGTTGTGAAGGGGGGAGCAATCCTTGGTTGTGTTTACCAGTTCGTGGGAAGGTGAGGTGGGCGGTTGGGAGAATATCATTCTTGAGGGTGTATACTCAAGCTGGGGAATAGACGAGAGTATATGGTTGGTCTCTAAGATTTGTACAAGGGCGGTATAGATCCTTCCCTGAAAGGTAGCAATGTGGCACAGACACGGTTTGTGTCAAATATATCAGGATGCTGTAATTGCTTCGATACTGAACCAATTCAGCTGACCTCGAGTAAGGGTAGTTGAGCTGTTTTCAAAACGGCAGTCGCAACGAAGTACCGCCAGTCTTAATTGGAAAGGCAGGAACAGTGATTGGAATGAATCGTGGGTATAGTGAGGAAGTACAATGTAACAATGACACGAGGAGGACCCGAATTGAGAGTCGAGATGTGATAGGTATATTGGTATCAATGAATCCTGTCGGTAATGGAAAAGTGAAAGTGTGGCTCATGCTGTGACCACGAGTTCGGACAAACCCATTATTCTGGAAGCAAAAGCTCGTGCGAGGCTGGTCGAAGTATGCTTAGTAGTATAGTCGTAGTGGTGATAGTAGTGCTGTAGTAGACGGGTGGTATATGAAGTAGGATGGATGGATAGATGTAGAGCAAGCGTTAAAAAGATGGAGTCAAGGATTTTAAACCTGGTAATTGCAGAAGGAACATGCAGTTCAGAAAGCCGGTCAGAATAAACAAGGGCTTGTTTGAAGAGCGGGCCTTTATATGTTATGTGTATCTGTGGAGTGGAAAGAAGTGAAGAGGACGGTCGAGAAAGAGACAAAGGTATTCTTCTTATTTTTTGGGGGCGTGGAAGAAAAGGTGGATAGTGAATATATGTGATAATTAAAGATTATCTGCGTCGTAGATTGAAAGGAAGAGACCAAGAAGGGACTAAAGAAGACTAAAGAGGACTAGGAGACTAGGACTGAGTCGATCTAGAAATCCCTAAAATCCAACCATCACATTGAATCCAAGCTTTTTTATTATTATTTTTTCTCCCTTGGAACTTGGGGAGGGGTTTATGTGGTGTGAGGAGTGAGGAGTGAGGTGTGAAGAGTGAGTGGTATAGTGCGTACGGAGTATTTCGAGTAACAAGCAAGCCAATTAGTAACTAAATGCTCTAGTACCGGTAATCGGGTGAGGAGTCAGAAATTACCAGCATGCTAGTGTGGTGGTAGTGTGGTGGTAGTGTGGTAGTGAGGTAGTGAGGTAGTGTGGTAGTGTGTTCGAATAACTTCTTGACCATCTCCCATCTAGCTGCTTTTCTTAGGCCGAGATCACAATCCACATCCATCCACATCCATCTTCGCACCCATATCCATTTAGCCCGTTTGAACCAATCTGGAAACAACAAGATGCCATTCGTCCACTTTCGCGCTTCGGCATCAGGATAAATGGGTCGGAAGGCGAGAGGATTAAGGTAGAGGGAGGGAGGGCAGGCAAGAAAAAGACGGTGCAAAAGTTCGAACTTGTGGGGTATGAGAATTGAACAATGATCGATGGATCAGTGATCGGAAATGGATCTAAGGAACCATGGATCCGTGGCGGCTCAGATGTGATGTGAAAGGGTTAGAGTGGGAATGTAATAAATTAGTAAAATGGTAAAATGGCACAATGGCAAAATAAACAAATACAGACGCCCCCTTGGTCTATCAAATGATAGGTAGCAATGGTCTAGGGATACTACATGGTAATATGAGGACTAGCTCCGTCCCGACTGGAATCCTCCATTCAGATTGACTTTATACGGATCTGAGTCTGGTGAAGATGAAGACCTCGAATATGGAAAAATAAAATTTCAAACTTTATTTTCATTTGGTGCCACCATGGTGCCATGTTCTGCACCAAGCTTCTTTAGAGAAATCTGAGATATAGTAGCATTCAATTTGGGGAGGGGGCTTAACCGGGGGATGGGTAATGTATTTCACGACAAGGAATAAGGCGTGGCAGAGCAAGGTATGAGAGGCCAGCTCGCAAAAAGGAATACAAAATGGATAATATATTGATTTAATAAAGACCGACCAGGGATGAAGGTTTTACCAGCTAGCGGCTTTATTGTGGATGCTAGGGAGGTATCTATCTCTCGATATTTTACACACCCTCCTCTTGTATGTTTATGTAGTATCATATAGTATCATCTATGTACGGAGATACTAAAATAGACTTCCTCACATGGAGAACACTTGACTTGATCTCCTCACATGAAGAGTAAGAGCTGGACGCACAAAGATTTCAGAAAAAGGAACCTGTCTTCCGTATTGTTGTCTACCGGCATTGTTCATATGGTTCATGGCATCATGGTCTGTCTACCGCTATATCCACTGTCCATCGCCCATCGCCCATCGTCCATCGCCCATGTATTGCCCAGAAACTGATAAGATCGTTTAGCCTCTTATGTCAACTGTAATGATTGGCACATACTTTTGCAGCTTGGATTTATTCAAACGTGCATAAGTTACTGATGTGTCGGCTATTAGAATGAAGTTTGACTCAATTAGTGCCGTCTAGTAAGCCGTGAACGACATAATTAAACCTACTGACGCCGGCACCCTCTTAAACTTTCTTGTAGTCAGTAGCCTGCACACTTAATAGTCCGATACACATTTGACTTCTAAAATAGTAAGAGGTCTGACACACTTTGTCATCGAACTAGTATCAAATACCGGCCGATATACGCAGGGAATCCTTAGACGTACGCAGATATGGTATTGTGCTCATAGTCCCTCAAACCATGCCTAGATGCCGGTATCATTACAGTTTTACCGTATTTGGTGTATGGAGTACAGAGCAGATAATGTCCTTCTCGTTTCGAAAGGGATCTTCCGTCATAATTAACGAGGAGTGATACGATACACTGCACCAAGTAATGGTAGACAGTATATTAATTCTGGCCTGTCATTGGTGTATTCGTACCGGTCTCCAGAAACAGCTGCAAGTACCCAGCTGCCATTCCCACTGCCGTCCGTCCCCATAAATTTTGAGTTTGTCAATGTTCAATCTCCATCTCCATCGGTTTCCACTTTCCACTTTCGCAGCATCATCTGCAAAAATCTGGTAGGAAGTGGAAGTGGAAGCGAATGCGAAATTAGTGCTTGCGCAGGTGCTCTTAGCAACTATTCAGGTTCATGGGGGAAACGCAATCCACATCCCGTCGCCTCACGTCTCCATATAATGCTTCTACCCGACCTTCGATGATACGGGAAATCGGGACACCAAGAATTCTTACGGCCGTTGCATCCCTAGATCTATGAGCTTGCCGAAGGCGTGCTGGATGCCTACCTAGGTAGGTACGATAATAAGATGTGAAGTATTTTGGGGAAGGCTGGCATGGCATGGCTTGTCGTAGGTACATGGTTAGAGTGTGCTCTCTCTATCTCTATCTATCCATCTCCACTACCACTGCTAATTCTACAATATGCTTATTCGCTCTTTTTGATTGTCATACAGAAATTGCTCAATGACTGTGAAAAAGGAAACCTAGATGAAACGTGTGACTACTTTGGGCGAACATCAAGGCATCAAGGGACCTCTTTGCTTATTTCTCGCGGTTGGGATTTCTTCAATATCGTTAAACAATGTGTCTTTAAAGAAGGAAGGATTCTAGGGGAACAAGCATTATTAGAACCTTAGCCAAGTTGGGTAATATCACACGGGATGCTGCTGTGCTGGAATTGGTAATTATTCTGTAATCGTGCCACCTGCAGGTTTGCCTGACTGACGAATCCACCAACAACTAGAAGGGTTGGTTCTATACGACGTATAACATCCATACCAGTGCCACCCACAACCCAACCCACCACCCCCCACCACCATACAATTTCCCATTTACGAATGTACAACGTAAGATCTTGCAAGTTGCAACAAATCCCCTTAGGCTCATCTCCCAGCTCCGTGCCCGTTCCCTCGGTACTTAAAACGCTCGGTCCCGAGTGCCTATTGGGAAATATAGATTGATCCGGAATTTATCATCTTTTGGAACTTCCGAGAATTGGTGAAAATTCGATCAGTCTTCGCTTCTGGACGAGGGTTCCATACCTTCTCATACGGAGACAGGGAGGGAGGCTCCTCACACATACCTAGGCTAGGCAGTCTGCTCGAATTTCACAGTACAATGCAATACGATACAGTACAGTGCATACCCACTTGCTACAAAATCCTGATGACTATGGTACAATGGTACTCTACTGATTGATTTTATTTGATTTGGTTGTTCAATCTCTCACTCAGGGTCCTACAAATGACATTGGTCGCCGACCGTCCGCTTTTTGTCGTCATTGCACAAGCTTTTCCCTTTCTATCCACTGATTCCACTCATTGTATTGTCTTGTAACACACATGAGTAATCACCGGTCATCATGCTTCCGAAATGAATCTTGAAAAAGTTCGTGTAAAACAGTGCTGAATAATGATAGGCACGGGTAAGTAGGATCTACCAAAGACATGGTGAAAAGATCATCGCTGAGCAGTCTCAATCAAGCCCTTCCTCTCATGATCAATACACAGCGTACATCTATCTCTGCGGTCGTATATTACCACCTATGCGAGTGATCATAAGAAAAAAGGCCACGACATTTGATTCACATGTTCCGTTTGAACTTTGACAACAAATCTCGTCTCAAACATTTAAAACAATATCTTGCTTCCCAAGGTAACGCTTCGATAACTTGTAATTATGCAGGTGATGCCCTTTACCCTGATCAGGGACGTGCTCCGGCGGCCTCCAACTTGTTTAGGCTTAATGTACTTGGTAAAACTTGTCTGGATTCTACAAGCAAACGAAAAGAAAAAGAACGTTTGACTGATCCACCTATGTGCTCAAAGCCTCAAACATCACATCCATTAGCTCCCGGCTGATCTTGAAAAATGTTGAAATGTCAATCATGAGTAGAAGCGAGCAAAAGAACAAGAAGATGCAAGCGTGAGATGCAAAAAGAGCCGCGCTTCAGGGGCTTCTCAGGATGATCTCAAGCCACCAAGTGCTAAAAGACGCCAACGGTGAAAAGATGCCAAGATCGATTCGTCTATTGGAAAAAGCAAGTACAGCATTTCATTTCGGTACATGTCCCTTGTTGATATAGACAATTTCTTTTCTTTTCCTCTCCCAAGAGCCGGACGAGACGCATATTTCATATTTCCGGATTCGGATCCGAGTGCATATCTCTACAGTGCCGCAAACGGGCCGCAGCATGACCCCCTCCCCATATTGCTTGTTGCCTCCTCGCAACTATGGCCTCTTCGGGTAATCTTCAATCTTATCCTGGGACACGACCTCCGTGGAAATTCCATCGACTCGTTTGGTGCAAGACGTGGTATTCCCGCAAGAATCCATGAAGCCAACGATAGCAATTTTACTCCAACGGCTAAGCGCGGTCAGCAAAGAAGTATGCTCTGTTCTTACAATGATCAAGTCCATCCATGTCAAAGGAATATACCGAAACTGATATCCAAAGAACTGGTAGGATGACCCGACTGTGCCTCCTGTCTGCAGGGACAAGCGCCGAGATTTGGGACCAACCAAATTTATCTACACTCCTCACTGCAGATAATATGGAGAAGCAGCTCGGGTCTGGTGCCAAGGCTTCAGGGGTGGGAAATGGCCCTTCATGGGTGCCACGAAGTCCACGATAAGGCCAGTCACAATGCCGTCGGACGTGCTTGCCGAATAACCCGGGAGGGGTTTGGGAAATACCGTTGTAATTGAATTGCGGTACATCAGAGTGGAGTGAAGAGTGAACCATGTGATTTTTTTCATGACAAAACCAATATTAATGCCAACATCGAGCAGGAACACTAAGAAGGTATGAACATTTGGCAATCTTCCTTCAGTACGTAAAATTCTCCTCAAGCACCCAAGTAATACCTTCCACAGAAGTTCCATATCCAACAAGTTCCATGCCTTTGGGCTTACTTTCTTTGGGGCTCAAATCGAATTTAACGAATGAGATTGGGCACAGGACGAAAGAACAGTCTGGTCGGCCTCTTACAAGGACTAGCATTGCATTCCTTCTGACTGCGAGAATCTTGGCATCCATGTGCCGCACACATCCAACGTCACGAAAGGTCATATTGTCTCGGGATTTTGGGGAACGATATATTACCATAAGCTGCCTAGCGGGGTTTAATGCTACTCGCCTAAAAGATAATACTTGAGGAGATTTGATTGGTCCAATTACGAATAAACGGAAAGCCTGTCAGCTTTGAATCTTGAGAATCACCATTCCGTGTCATGCAAAATTCTAAAGATAGTCCCCAAATTTCCAATACACATAACAGACCCAGACAATGGGTAAACAACAAGTAGTGCAGATCGAAGGGGGGTCTCATTACCGGCCGTTGCACGAAAAAGTGCGAACGCTGTACGATCAAAACCGAGAAAGGCAGGTCGGTTAGGTGTTACCAACACCTTGGGTCAGCGTCAAACCACACCTGGGTAATTAATTAATTGAAGTGCAATTAACATGGATATCGTTGGGACTCTGTGATTTATTTAAGTTTCAACAAGGGGTGACACAACTGGGGGGGAATAGACGAAGAAAAAAAGTCCTGGGGAGCGGAAGAATATCCGAGCTCTCTACGTGGAGTGAAGGTCGGTGGGTAAGGACTCCAGGGAGTCAAGGTCTAGATTCTGATACGCACATTGCTTGCTAGCCCAAAAATGCCAAAATAATACCGGCATCCCACAGGCCACTCGTTAAAATTTTCCACAAGCGGGAAATTTAATAGATGATCCCACGTTTTTCCTTTTTACTCCATGCGGATCGTGAGGCAGATGGAGAGGGGGGGACGACAGTTGTAAGCTGGATTCGAGGGTAGTCTAGCGTCATTGAGGCTGCAAAGTGTAACCCAAGACTGTGCAATCTGCACTGCACTACCGATGAGGGGTTCGGATATGCCGTGATTCGTATAAATCCTAGAAAAAGAATAGTTCATTATTGGTGCGAAATAAGGGAGCGTCATATTATGGACGAGCAGCCAATCAGAGAAAAGAGCGAAGAGCGAGATTATGGGGAAGTGCTAATCGAAATTTATGGTATCCTTGATTTAGCGATGGCAATTTATGCTGCGAGAGAAATTTCATGTCGAAGAATGGAGACAGTGACAGGCCAATAGTTCAAATATGGGACGAAAATTCAGGAACCTACTCCGTACTTCTCGATACTGTACCGTATCGTAATCGTACCTACTTTCGGGGGGAACCAACAGTTATCCTCGCCGGGATTATGGATGGGTGGGCTGGGTCGTTAGTAGAGAGAATCGAACGATTATTGTCTTGACGTATGGATAACATCATGCGAGTTTGGGTGAAGAATGGGAGAAATTGGAGAAACTAATTCCGGGAATGTGTACATGTTTTTTCTTCGTTTCGACTCATGAATAAGTCATCATGTCATTACCAAATGGACCATGCATGCATAGTACACATATCCCAATGTTGGATGTATACATGTGATGTCTGTCACTACCCAAACATATTCATGTTATTCAGGTTATTCATGTGTCTAGCAGTGCCTACATCCGATTCTACACGGTGTTGGGATCGGCTCAATCTATTGTCCGAATTTGCATAAGCATGTGTATCTGATGGCTGGGCATGATGCTGAGTGACAGTGGGCGAATTATTATGTTATGCATTAGATGGAATAGTATGGTTTTTCTTTTGCCCTTTTGGGTTTCCTTACTTCTGCTAAGGATTAGGTCCTCCGGTAGAGCTAAATGTTTTCTTTTATTGGTTTTCGATGTGATACAATCACCTCCTCGCAGCTCTCAGCCGACAAAATCATCAATCATCTAATCCTCGATTTTGTTCCCACACCCTTCCCGAAGATGGCAGAAAATTCATCATCAGTCATTAAAATTGTATGGCTCAGAAGGGTCCCAAGGGAGTGGTTACATTTATCCATCAATATTCTACAAGCAGCCCACAGTAAGGCCCAATTATCCGATATAGGTGATTCTTCCTCTGCTTAGCTATTCTTCCGTTTTACCCTTCATTTTCCAACCGCGCGTTTCAATCCAATCATACCCTATCACAACACTCGGACATTAGTAGCTGCGGGTATACAGATACGGCATCGACTAGGGAGGTCTATCTTTCCTCATGCCGTGCCACTAAAACTCGCTCCAGCCTCTCACATCTCTGTTTATACTGCTGCCTTGTCATGTTGGTACGATGATTCTTGGGAGGGTAAGAGTTTGTGGAGACGAGAGACAGAGCCAGCCCGGCATCTACTCCCGCGCTGCAAAGACCACTTACGGAGCAACCCTCATCATTAATTTAAACATGTACCTACCTTCTTGATTGACCTCTGATTAAATTATTGCCATTTATCTCCCATGTCCGCGCTCGCCACGAACTCCACCCCCAAAATCCATGTTCCGTGTACGAACCTGGAAATACTCTCGTCGTGAATAGTGGACCTTCTTTCCCTACACTGCAAACATGTTCAACCTTCACATGTTACCATCTCTGGGGACATGGCCCGTCATGCCACATGGTTTTTACGATCTTTAGCGGCACGGCACAGCAAAAACAATCTTGCGTGATGCTGTCAGCTGCGTGGCAGTCGAACGGCACAGCAAAGGTGGTGTTTGGGGGGGATGGGAAACACTTTTTCTTGACTGATGATTGAAAAGCCCACCATGACACAATCTTCCCATCCTGCCTCATTCGATTTCATTCTTTTTCCAAGGATTTTTATTTTGTTCCATGTTTTCGAGATATTGTAACGGCGACGGGGATGAGATTCTAATTGTAGTGTTTCTAATATGTCATGGAGATGCGAGGGATCAATAGTGTAGCATAAGCTTCATTTCGACCACGCTGTGATGTAGCATTGATTAAGTACTCAGGAGGCGCAATCTAGTTGATTCGATGTAAGCTGTTCATCTTTACGATGCCGTAAGCACGCGTGCATTACCAAAAAGCCCTCCCTCTCTGATTCCGAATTAGAAACATGGGGGAAGGATCCTTCCAATCGAGGGAAAATCACCAGAAGTTTTCTAGAATCTCCTGCGCCGCTCGCTCCCAGAGGATTCTTTTCTTCTTCTTCAAAGTTCTCTCGCTTCGGTAGAATGCTTGAATGCTAACGGGGGGCTCACCGCTCTTGCTCATTCGCTGTCTCTGAGAAATTGAAGGATTCCTTCGTGTGTCACTGCATTCCCTCCCTCCCTCGCGTACAGGCATGCGATATGCATACACCGCCAATATAATATACGGCATACAAAAGTGTAAGACGGCACATTGGACAAGCAAGATGGAAGACAAGGAAGTATCGTGGTCTTCACGGGGCGTTGTCCGTTCTCTCTCGGCATAGTCTGCTGATGGAGAACATCGCGTAGGCAACAGAATGAAGGATTCCTCTACCTTCCTCTTTCTCTCAAGACTGCGTTTTCCTCATCTCGTGGTATTCTCGTGCTGGCCTTGTCGGTTGCTTTCTGCTTCCGATGAAAAAGTCTGCGCCGCATGTAAATACTCCTAAAACTCAGACATATATATATGTATGTACGTGAAAGCGCTTATTAAGATGGTGTGAATGGATGGCTACACGGAGATTGTATCGACTACATAATCTTCCTTTGAGAATTTTTATTTGTCTCCAGAAGCATCGTGAAACCCTATGCTGCTTCAATTAATGATGAAAGTAGCTAAAAGCCCATGATCATAGAAAATTCACCGTTTGTTGTATCCACAGTGATCTACATGCCTCACAATGTCTTTCATGTACGTATGTAAAAGGGCGATCGTGACAATTTCTATTTCCATCATGAACGCATCAGCAGGCAAACCAATTTAAGTCTCGTCAATCGCGATCTGTACCAGACGGCCATGTATCGGATCTACCTGTTTCAAACCTTCCAAGACTCGCCTCACTGCCACGTCTTTCGTCGCATGGCGCTTCTTGGTTTCCTGTGTGAGTAACGGTCCGGTGGTGATCATCACTCCGTTTCAGTCACCTGCTCTGGCCTTCGGTAAACCATGTTCACTCGCACATCTCTTCGTGCACGTATCGTATGTCGTTCCTATTGAATTATCGACGCTCTTCCGATCCAAGCGCTGCGCCTAGACTGGCTGAGACATCATAGAAAGTCTATCTTTCGTATGATGCAATCATACGTTTGTTGATACTCTAGGATCTCTAGTTGGTAGTTTACGAACCCCTTCCTCTACTTACTTCTTGTGCCGCATACTTACATCGCAGAATTCAATATCGTGGAGACTTAAATATACTAGATCTTTGTATGTATGTATGTATGTATGTATGTATGTATGCTGCGGGTTATCTGCTTAGTCGATTCAAATCATAGATATACTCTACGCGCTCACTCACTCGCATAACTTCTACTTTCGTTGCTGAGTGCATATACGTACAACCAATTATGAAGTGAAGCTTTGCTGTGTAATTTATCGTACAACACTATTTGCTCTTGTGGTGTAGGGGGAAGCTTGGATATTGGGCTCTGGAGTAAATACTAGATCTATGATGTTTAATTTGCAATATTCGTAGCATTTGATAGCAAATCGAGCTTCATTTCCTGTAGTGCGCTGCCCCTTCCTTGTCCATTCCATCAATCCAACAATGTCTCACTCCAGTTGTAGACGGGGGATACGTGGCAGGGAGGAATGTACCCTTTACTCTTTTACATGGATTTTGTTTTATCTGGAGTGTATGTTCCGTAGATTAAGGAAGTCAGTAAGGTATGTCTATAGAGTGTTGGCTGACAACAGGAGACGTCGTATATTCCTCTGAAGATCACGTTTCGAAATTGAGCCACTGCTTTGTTTATCCCTCGAGGCACATTCTGATAGAGGGGGAGAGATGAAATGAGTATTCATGTCAGGCATATTTCCTGACGGATTTGCGGATTTGCTGTAGAATTTGTGTAGAGTAGGGGGGTGTGGTAAGATGCTATCTGTGTGTCCATGGGAGGAAGTAGAGGGAAGAGAATCTTCCATTTTGTGATCATGAATCTGACCGCAATATCTTGTTCCTTGATGGTCTTACTTCAACATGTGTAGATAACTATTGGAAATAGGTAGCAAGTCGAATGGCTTTCATCTCAATCCGTGAATGAAGAAACAATTTTACTTCATTTCTCTAGCCTTTAACCATTCAGTTCAAGCTAGAGATTTGGACCAATGCCTTTGTGATCGTGCTTACTTTAACAAGTTATCGTAGCCTCTCGTCTGTGTCTTCGCCCCTCGATATGAGTTGATTCTCGTCCCTGAAACTGAACAGTATATCTTCAACCACATCCAGCTTTGCATACACTAAAATGCCATATCTTCTCCTCACATTTCCAGCATTCAAAACGTTCATGAAGTAAGTAGGAAGTTTCTGGTTTCAGAATCATCGAATTTGGCTTCCTGTACGATTTTGCTATGAATGTCGGCTCGGTATACGTTGTTAGATCACGGTCTAGCCACCACATCATCACCCATACTGAGTGAGCTTAAAGGTATAAAGGAATAGGGTATTGATCCTAAGTGCCCTGTAAGAGCTATGTATCTCTTATATGGTACATGATGTATATGGGGAGGATTGGGTGGACAATCGGATGATAACTTGACGTGTCAAGGTAGATTTCAAAATCGATGTAATATCTCCTGATTGCACATTCCACTGGACTCGCTCGCACTCTATCTTTCCGCTTGCATGCTAATCTTCATCAAACCCAAGCTTCACTATCACTGTCACTTGCACATCCACTTTCATTCTCTTCGTCTCCCCGGCCTGTGTATCTTGTGAAGAGATATAAACAGATGCATATATGAGTATAATGAGAATATATGCATCTTGAAACCAATAATCTATGCCTTCTTATCTGATGTTCTCTGTGCCCATCTACTTACTGATGAGTAGATATTTGAGTGCAAATATAATATCGAGCTGCTTCTCTTGTGACATCATTATATTTTGTTCACTATCATGGGCAATACACGAGGAATATTTCATCCTCTTGAAACACTTCATCCATCTAGAAAGCCTACATTCTCCAGCTTTTTGTCAGTGGCACGTAGCCATAAATAGAAGGCACTAGTATCATCAACTCACCGGCATATATAACTGTTCTCATCAAGGTGCACATGTATGAAAGGACAACTTCAAAAACTAGGTATTAAGCATGTCACTATTCTTAATGGCGTGTATGATATGAATGACTGAAGCGAGTTTCTTGCACAGTCGAAAAGACCGATATTTAAGTCGGAATCAAACTCACAAAGATATCATACACATGTGCAAGGAAAACTATTGTAGCATTTGCATTTAGAAGAATCAAGGTAGAATAATTTGAACTAAACCTCTCATGCCGGCACAGAACCTTATCATTAACCACCCCAATCATTTCGAAAAAGGGAGAAGTTATTCAATAATTCACTAAATCAATCTTATAATACAATCGTCCACCTTTAGACAAACAATAATACCAACACCCTTCCTAGAACCATGTCGTGATTTTTCACTCAATCTGCATACATCTCCCCGAAGAAACCATCATCAGCCGCCGGAAGAGGCTTCGGCTCAGTCTTCGCGGGCTCCTCCACCACCGTCTCAGTCTTCGCGGGCTCCTCCACCACCGTCTCAGTCTTCTTCACTTCTGAATTTCCACTCTTCGTACTTTTTGTCGGAACCAAACTTGAGCTTTTCCTAGCATCCGTCGTAGCAACCTGTAGCATACTTCCGGTTGATGATTGTCCTTGAGCCGCCGCTTTGAAACACATACATTCGCAAGGACCCGTGTGTCCCGATGCTTTCTCTGAATCATCAACGGGATGAGCGTGAATTTCGCTTTCGGAAAGCTGTGCGGTTTCGTACTCGAGTGCTTTGATTAGTTTGTAGATGATGCTTGCTAGACCGGCGCCGGCAATAGGACCAACCCAGTAGATCCAGTGGTAGCTCGGGAAACTTAAGGTTATGACTGCGGGACCGAGGGAACGGGCTGGATTCATGGAGCCGCCGGTCCAGAAGACCCCTTTGTTTCGTTAGTATAAATTCAAGATAGCTCTTGGGATAGATTTAGGTTGACTTGCCAGCTAGTTCCCCAATAAATACAGATAATCCAATACCCAGAGGCGCCAGAAATGTAGCTTCGTGTTTTTCAGCCGCGAGCATGAGAACAGTAAAGCAGAGCTGACATGTGAGTATCATCTCAAGAATAACTCCTTGTGCTGGACTCATTCCAGGCTTAAGTGTAGTTGCTGTATGTAACCCTCCATGATACAAACCACAAGCCATTGCTGAAGCAGCAATTGCACCCACACATTGTGCTACACAAAGTAAAACACATCGAGTTAAATCAATTGCACCGACGAAGAATAATGCGATGGAGACCTTTCACAGTTAGTGCAGACTCTAAAACTTAGACTTGGATTACTATCGCACTGCTGGATCAAATAGCCCTCCACTAATACGGAAGAAAGTCCATGCATTAACCACCAAACTTATTCCAGCTCCAAACGCTATAAACAATATCTGAGTTGTACTAATCGATTTTGTCTCGTAGCTAACTTTATCGCCTTTGTTATCATTTGCAGACGCGAGAGCGACTTCAGCTGCGGAAAATGCGATGAATAGAAAAGCAGTTGTGCCAATAAGTTCGCCAATGACGGCAACAACATGACCTCGTACTTTTTGTGGAATAGAAGAAAAGAATTTGGTGAAGACTTTTTTGAGCGGATCGAGACGGGAGAGAGCGGTCTGGCCAGGACCGGAAATATTAAGTGTAGGTTGGCCATTCAACGTCGTGACGGACATTTCAATGAGTTGTAGGTTGGTAGATAAAGATGTCGTTCATAGGTCTACGAGTTGTCCAAATCATATGCAGTTGAACTTGGAAAAGGTCAAGATCCGAAAATATCATCTCTTACTATTTTTTGTTGGAATAGATGGCTCTTTCCTATTTTAATACGGAAACGCCGACACTATAGCAGCGGGTGTATATTTGTAAGGACTGAAAAGGGAAAGAAGGAAGTTATGTAAAAGTTGAAAGGCAATCTTGCATTTGTTTTTGATTGTTTTTAGAAATGAACAACTGGTTCCTGTATAAATGCAAACTTCGACGTGCTTCGTATATGATACTTTCCACAAAGGAAAATCCCCTACACCGAAAAACGCCATCATCATCATCATCATGAGATAGAGCTTGTAACTTTTACTGATTGAAGAAAGAGATGGGATCCAAATATACTGCCCCTACAACAGGTCACAAATAATCACTTGCCAAATCAACTCTCGAACCTCACAACTTCTCCCGAGAAACACCGGCCTTCCTATGTATTTCGTCCTCAAAAGCAGTAAACAATCGATTTGTCTTTGGATCTCCAGGCGGAATTAACTGCGAGCCCCATATACCGCATATTCCATCTTTACGATTGATCCACCACTGAAGGTTTGGATATCCTCCCCAGGCGATCGAGCCTTTGCTTCTACCACCGATATTTTCCAAATTAATCATACCTCCGAGGCCCCAATCCGCTTTCAACCCCTTGGGAAATGCACCCAAACATTCGTTAACTTCTGGGATAGAAAGCCTCTTCATCAAGCCTTTTCTTGAGGCTTCACTCAGCTGCGGCTTGAACATCTCATCAACAGTTTCCGATTTTAGTAATTTCCCATCATTGGCACAAATGCTTTGTAAACACTTGAAATAATCAACGGGACTTCCGAATGTCCCAGCGCCTCCTTGACAGTCTTTAGTAGCTGGATCAAATGGTACTTGACTGGTATATTTGGCTTTACTCGTGGGATCGTCCGTTGTTCCATACTGAGTGACACCTCCTTCTCGTTTACTCATTGCGATTAATCTTGAGAAAATCTCTGGGTGTTGAGTCGGGTGAAAGGTCATGTTGTCCATACCAAGAGGCCCCCATATGTTCTTTCTGAAGTATATTTCCAAGGAGATGTTGCCATTGACTCTTTCTACCATCTGGCCAGCCCAATCAATACTAACTCCATAGGTCCATGACTCACCAGGGGCAAATAGGAGTGGGAATTTAAAGCGTTCTTTGACTAAGAATTCCCCGTCTGTGGGCATAGGCAAGCCTTTATTGATATATTCTGTGTACCGTGATAGTAACGGATCTTCAACGTACTTAGTTGTTGCCTTCAACGCCTTGAATTTACATTACTTACCGAAATAATCGTATGCAAGTCCAGATGAGTGGGTTAAAAGATGTCTTAGTATGATCAGTTTCATGTTTTGTATTGATTTAGGATACCGCGGGAATAACAAACCGAAGCGTTATAGGTTTATGGTTGTCTATTAAGATTGGCTTCCCGCTTTCTTCATCAAAACCTGTCAAAATTTGTACACCCTTGAACTCTGGTAAGATCTCTGATATATCACCGTCGAGATCCAAAAGCCCTCGCTCAACACACTGTAATGCCGCGATGGTTGTGAAAAGTTTTGTGCAGGAAGCAAACCACATGGCACTGTCCAATTTCATAGGCTCCGAGGGATCTTTAAGAGACTGAGATCCAAAGGCTTTGGCATAATAGAATTTCCCTGGACATGTTCATCAATGAAATATCCTGACACGAAAAAAATCAAGAAGACATCCAATGAGCTTTGAGAACCATGTTGAACATGTACTCGAAGATTATAGTGCTCGTGTCCACACTAATGAACACCGGTTACCAACTAATTTGTTGAATCAAGGAAATATGCATACCAGAGCTATCTCCCCCTACCAGCACTGCACCTGCAATGTCTCTGCTACTGCAAGCTTCTCTGATTATGTCCTCAAAGTTCGACATCTTGTCGACGAGCCTAATCACAAGAAATGCGGCCCAGGAGAACAGAAGAGCACGGAAACAAATACTGTAGACAAAGATCCGTAGATATAACGAACAAAAAAATTAGCTCATCTAGGAAATAGAAAAAGAAAACCTGTGTCTAGGTATTCTGTATACAACAATCTATCGTATGATCGGCACAAGGTGCCTCGGTGTTTCTGCCTATCTCCATATGCAGCCCCGCGTGGATACATACAGGCCTCGGAACCAGACACGACTCATTTCGAAGAGGTTTCGCCCAATCTCTTAATTTGATTGAGACGTATGGAGAGGGAGAAACCTCGGCAGCATTTGCTAGAAATATTCGCGGTAAACACTCAAGTCGCACGATCATGCAAGACTTCGGCAATGTTTTTTCAGAAACTAATAAATTGTCGGACTGAACGCTCGCTACATTGGGCTGATGGCATCGTAAAGAAACAGTCACTACACGAACTAAGCGGTCTCCTGTCCGATAAATCACTGGAATGATGCTATAGAATACGCTTGAAAGGAATTGTGGATAATGTTAACCGATATTCTACCTGGGTGTCAATTTCCAAAAGCACTCCTGCTGGTATATGTAATTCATGAGCCGTGCCATATTATACTCTAATAATTTGTCATGTTTCCCGAAATCCTACCAAACGCCTTGCCAATGCTTGCCTGCTTTAAACTTTCAAACATCATAAAGACACTTAAATACAATATGTCAACCGTTATCACCATCTATATTCCTTTTGGTCATTCCCGGTTCCATCCTCATTCAGCCCATACCGACATATTTGAACCAGTTTGCCCTACAATCCTCCTTGTGTAGCCAAGCTTCTCCGTCTGTGAATCGTCCCGCCTGGCAACCTTTGCATTTTGGCGAATTAGGGCAATTGAAGTAAGGGATGTGCTGGTAACCGATATCACGGAACCTGTAGAAAAAGGTCAGTCATGGACACGAATTTCACGTTAAGGACTCGAAACTTACCAATGAATTTTGCTCGAATCTTCAAAAAGTGCCAAGGCAATACTATGAACTGGCGCATCTCCCCATCGCTCATAGAAGAAACCTCCAGCACGATCCAAATGGTTGAAGTAATCCTCATATGCTTGACTGCGCCAGAAATCCATGTTGGCAATCTCGAAATTACTCCAGAAATGGCATGTAGAGTAGCCATTTGCATTCCGATTATGTTCTGGTCTGCGCGCACTATCTGTAACCCAATTCATTGCATTATTCTCGTGTATGTACTCTGGATGTGCGGCCAAGAATTTTGTGGTTTCGGGCCATAGGGATGGAATTGATTGAGGCGCATCGTAAAGATTGATGGTGAATCCGTAAGTTTTGTTTTGATCTTGCATATACCTGAACACATCATAGTCTACATCGCAGAAAAAATGGACCTTTGGCTCGACACGCCAGTAAAACTGCATATCTGCCATGGCTGGATGCTTGTAGAATAAACCACTATTCCATCGACACATTTGGTGGTAAGATGCCATGCTGGCATATTGAATGTCATTCTCCTTCAGTATCTTTGCCGATTCTTCGAAAAGCTCTGGATCGATCCATGAGGGCATTTCCCAATGCTCTTTGGGAATCTCTTCTGTTAGGATTGTTAGAGTTGACAGATATCATGAGATGCAGGGCTGCGTACCATATCTGCATTCTGCCTTCGTTTCTGCAGAAGTTCGACGTTTAAACTCCTCTGAAAATGGTACGTCATTGAAAAATGTCCACGGGTAATTGAACTTGTGGTTCCATGTTCTTTCCAAGTCTCGCATAGCCTGAACCATACCATCAACCTCTTCGTTGCGAACCAGAGATAAAAGAGTAGCATTGATTCGACTCGTTCCCTCGGCGCCTAGTCCATAGCCCTGATCGGCTCTCCATAACACACCTTCTGGTTCTCCAGTAGCTATAAAACGTGTTAGCATGACATTCAAGGTAGTTGGCATTGAACGGGATTTGGCGCATACGATCTAGGTTAGGATCTCTTTCTATATTGGCAAGTGTATCTCCAGGCCCAAGGTCTGGTTTTGGTGGACCAAAAACTTGATATAAGAAAAACATCCATAATCCTATGGCTAGTAAGCCTAGGACTCGAATTGGGCGTGCTACAGCCATATTGATGATCTCTGGCTTCAAAAGATGTGTCGAGATTCTAAAGTCATTGAAGCTCCAGCGCCGCGTAAGATCATGGAAAATAAAACCGACCTAACTGAAGACCCTAAAAAAGGGGATGGGATTTGCCTTGTCACACCTGCAGGCTAATAATAATAAGGTACTAGGTAGATTCGAATAGGTAAGGTTTAGGTAAAGCGATAACAGCCTTGTATTCAAGGCCGAATTGTTATCGCGTCTTCTGTTTCTGAGGCGCGTGCGGAATAAACATACCAGCAATATTTATATTGATTTTAGCATTCGATGAGTCTCGCCGGCGACCATCGTTGATCAGGAGTGTATAAACTCTACTACCACTCACTATTTCGAGTGAACTTCCATCCAGCATATCATTGATCAAAAGTTTATGAATTATATCATAGAGACAAGCTTGCTAATGAACTAATACAATGGCGCATCTTGCAAAGCTGGGAGCTTTAACGGATGAGCTTGTTACATTAATCACTTCCTTTTCCCCACAGGTAAACATCTCTGTTTTTATTGGATCGTCTTCTTCACTGCTTCAATATCCTCAGAATCAAAGGGCTGACCAGTTTAGTCTGATCCTGCCAGGTTCAATACTTGTCGAGAAACTGCTCTTCGAGCACTCAGACATGGTAACTACAATCGAACGAACCAATTTGATATTCAGGATCGACTTGAAGGTCTGGACGAAAAGTTTCGAGTATACAATGAAGATCCACTCGCAGATGCGCTCAAGGAGCGTTTGCAGAAACTACCTGAACTGAAATTGAAATGGACATCCGAAATTCTACATCTACTTCTTGAATTATCGAATAAACCAGTTTCTAAGTCGAGGATTGAAGATCTGGAATTGATCAAAGTATTGGATCCTGAAACCGAGCCCCCTTTGAAATGGCGAGATCTTGTTGCCGAGGATCCTCTGCTACGTGAAAAAAGTATTTGGAGGAATGTCGATTTTGGGGCGGATAGTTCTGATGATGATGATGATGATGATGATGATGCCTTTGGAGATACTCGATCAGAGTTGACAGAGTCGACCAGATCAACAGGAGAATCGAGCTTGGATGATGACAACACCAGGAGACCCCAAGATTTCATTGTGAATACACTTGAGGAGGACACCTTGAATAGATTGAAGAAGGCACAATTTTGGCAGAAACCACCAAGCGTAAATGGCATTCAGCTAAAAACTGTTAGAAAACCTATCACCGAACTTCAGGGGGTTCGAGAAATTCTCTTCATGTTTGCTGGATCATTGAGCTCCCTTTTCGAACCAAACCCTCGTGATATTCGGATTATTAAACCTTTGAAGAGTTATACCTTCAAGCATTTGACTCCGGAAGGTTATGATATGCTAATGGAAAGCTTTGCAACTCAAGGCTCAGCATTAGCTGTTCTTCGAGCCTGGGTAAAACAACCTCAAAACGTGCCGTTATTACAGGTTCTGCAATCATCTATTTCTCAGCGGCTTATGGATTTGGACACTAGGCTATCCAACATCCAGAGTAGATTTGTTGCTCCATCGAAAGATGTTGTTGTGAGTCTTCTAAGTCTACAAAACGAATTGGCAGATTTTACCAAACCTCTTAGCAGACTGGCCGATATCATCAAAAGAGTTGAGCATGATCCATATGCCCATGCGTTCCGGTATCTCGAGTTCCTATACGACGAAACTTGTACCTCCCAGATGGCTGGAGATGATAATATGTATTCCTTCATGGGTAAGATCTTCTTTCAGTGCTTTCAAATCTACCTAAGGCCAATAAGATCATGGATGGAGGAAGGTGAGCTCAGCAGTGGAGATAACGTATTCTTTGTCTCTGAAGTTACTGGAAACTCAGATCCGTCTTCAATTTGGCAGTCTCGCTTTAAGCTACGCAAGACCCAAAGTGGCGTGTTACATGCTCCGAGTTTCCTTCAAACTGCTGCGGAAAGAATCTTTAATACTGGCAAAAGCGTTGTTGTTCTGAAACAGCTAAATCAATTCGAATCTGTACGATTAAAGAGGAAGATAGAACCAAAGCTCGACTTTGATTCCGTATGCAATACCTCCAGATTTTTCTTGGCCCCTTTCTCCGAGTTATTTGATGTAGCCTTCGAAAAGTGGATCAGGAGCAAGCATCATCATACCTCAAATAAATTGCGCCAAACTCTGTTCGAATCTTGCGGTTTACATAATGCCCTCGATGCATTAGCTCATGTCTACTTCATCGCCGATGGTATTTCTTCCTCCAGCTTCATGTCATCTATTTTCGATAAGTTAGATACGTTAGATTCTTCCTGGAATGATCGTTTCCCATTGACAGAGCTCGCACAAAGTACAATTGGTTCCCATCCATCCATAATCCCAGAACGACTTCGACTACGAATCCGACCTCTTTCACAAAGGAGTCGAGATATCAATAGATGTCGAAGATCAGTCAAGGTACTCTCCATAATCGAACCTATATATCACCTCTCCTGGCCTGTCCAAATAATACTTACTCCACAAACAATACCCTCATATCAAGCAATCTTTACCTTTCTCTTCCAAATTCGTCGTAGTTCTCATATTCTTTCCAGAGAACGCCTAGTCTCCGATCGTCATAGTTTAACCAGTACCACCGATGAACGTTCCCTCTACTACTCCCTCCGAACTCGTCTTCTCTGGTTTTACTACACTCTATACTATTACCTCACATCCTTAGTAATAGAACAACGCTCCCAAAAAATGTATCAGAATCTTCAAGAAGTCGAGGATATTGATGCAATGATTCGTGTCCATACATTGTTCATCAAGCGCATCACCGATGAATGTCTTCTCGGTAGTAAGCTTGAGCTTATTCACAACACTATCATCAAGATACTTGATCTGGGTATCAAACTGGAAGATGCCCAGGCTGCAAATGCGGCTGTTAGTAAAGAGACAATGGAAAAACAACAGGAGATCATGGATCTATCACTAGCGTCCCTAGATTTGCCCCCAACACCGCGAAAATCGACGAATATGAGGATGAGTATGAGAATGAGTCTTGCAAAGCAAAGGGACGAGGACTCGGAAGATGAAATGGAAGTGGATTTGAGTATCTTATCACCCGGATTGGAAGACCGTGATGTCGAATCCTATGCGCAGAAGTTGAAGAGAATGAAAGGAGAATTTGATAGGTTAGTTAGGTTCGTAGGGAGTGGATTGAGAGGGGTGGCTAGGGCGAGCGGAGGGGAGGAGGCGAAAGCCTGGGATGTGTTGGGGGAGATGATCGAAGGGGGTTTGGATGCATAGGTCCATTTAAATTAGACGAAATTTACAGTAATAACTAACGATGAGTGAGAATCATACACGAATCGATACCCCATCCAATCCAAATTTGATTGTCCCACACTCAGGTTTCTGGTGGTCAAATCATTCAAGCGAGGATGAAAGTGCGAATGCGATATCGCAAAGTGGCATGAATATGAAAGAGGAAAGATTTAGAATAAATATGTAGCTTTTAGCAAAATTAAATATGGCGATGGTTTTCAATGGGCTTGGTATATGGTGAGAGCGTTCTGTATTGCTAACGTAGATATACACCATTGCGCCGTGAATGTGTGTGACCATTTGAATGCAAAATTTCATAAGCTGAGCTATTAGCTGTCTTCAAATCGCATCCAAACCCCATACTTATGTCACAATGAGTTGTTCAAAGTTCACATTCTAAGCCCAAAATGACGGATATTTATTTCCTTCGATTAGGTAAGCAGGCCTGTTATGTTACTCTTTGGTGGGGTTCACCGCTCTATTTGGTAAGTGCGGGGCAGGGGGAATGAACATAAACCTTTACCAACCTTACCTGGTACCGCTACCAAACCCACATCTACCTGCCTTTGCTCTTTCCGCCAAGAAAGCTGTTGCTGCCCATCGTTAAATGATCGAGCGATCTGATAATTGGGAAAAATAGCAATAATAATATCTTATCTTCCCCTTCCGACGGTGAAGACAAAAAAAGAATATAAATCCCTCACCCTCAAACTTTTCGTTTCTGTCTTCGCTCTCACATTCACCTCGAATTGTCTTCTTCATTTTGGTTCCAGCTATTATCCTCATAGAGCTTCTATAAAAAGTTCTAGAACTTTTGGTAGGTCATCGAACTGTTCATGTCAATCAAATACGATGTACTGGTACGGAATAAACTGACCAATGACGCATGTTGTCTTAGACCTTACCTATACCCAAAACAAAAAAAAAAGTTTTTCCAAAGCAACCAACGCAACAAATCCACACTGCACCCATTGAAGACCCATTCCAACGACGCAAAAGTCTTCGTGTTGCTACTTTGCTATTCTTGGACATCTCAATGAAGATTTCAATGAATATATATCGTTATTGAAACTGCAATCTTTGCAACCAAAGTCACAGTCAGTGTTAGGTACACTTGACTGCGAATACCGCTTCCCTATCAGTACTTTATCAATTCTCTATGAGCACTAAAGATCTACTACGCTTCCTTTCCAAACCAGCAAAGTAAGAATTTCTATTTCCCTCTTCTATCTGCTAGTGTATTCTTCCACAGTTCAATGCCTTCAACGGCTTCAGTCCTGAACATTTGCCTATCATCTCAATTATACTTCCCCTGTGTGTGTGGACATGAACAGCCAGATGATTTGATTACGAGGGTCTAGTGACTCGTGAAAAGCAATAATTCACTTGATAAAGCGGAGAATGATTAGATTTTTCTGTCTGAATCATACCAAATCTTCTTCCATTTTGCTAACCAACCCCTTTCTCTTCTCTAGGCCCAGATAACACCAGCCACGCCCCCAAACACTCAAACAAACTCCGTTACCTAAAACTGCAGATACTACTCGTCTGCTAGACCCGATATCTTTTCACGGTATCGGCATCTATCAGAGCGAGCTCACCGAATCCAACATTCCTTCGGTTAAGGACTCCTTCATCCCTCTTTGCACCCGACCTCCTTAACGTCTCCTACGTGACGTCTATATTCTGAATATCTTGCTGGCTTCGCCAGCACATCCCATATCCCACGGTTCTGTGGGCCTTCTCTTCTCAGTCGAACACCGCAAGGTTCGTCTGGGTGGCAGATAGTGCTTCACAGTACTTTGCCAATTAGCAAAAATCACATACTCTACCATCACCAAGCATAAATCCGATACTACGTGCATTATCGCACCCTCACGTTAGAGATGGTCAACCTCGAAATCCCATCCCAATATACATTTTCACCTTCTGAAGCTACACCTCAGCTCACCATCAATCGCGATGCTACTATCGATCTCGATTCTAGCAACGCTTTCGAAGGTTCGTATTTGTACACTATTTCGGAGAAAACATAAGCTGACAATATTAGGCCCAGAAAAGCTTCTAGAAGTTTGGTTTGCTCCCTCTCCAAAGGACTTGCCTATTGGTGCTAAAGAAGATGGACTCAAGTCCGTCTCGGCCGAAACATGGACAGGAATGCTAGATCTTGTAAATTGCAAGGTCTTGTCAGTCGTTGAGTCTGAGCATGTTGATGCCTACCTTCTCTCTGAATCTAGCATGTTCGTTTTCCCTCACAAGCTTATTCTCAAGACTTGCGGTACTACCACCTTATTGCTTGGGCTTCGTCGAATGTTGCGAATTGCGGCCGTCCATGCAGGTTTCCCGGCCCAAGATTGTAAATCTCTTGAGGATGTCAAGACTGCTGCCAAACCTTACCGAGTCTTTTACAGCCGAAAGAACTTCTTGTTCCCTGAGAAACAGCAAGGTCCACATCGTAGTTGGAAAGATGAAGTCAAATATCTCGATGACATGTTCTTAGGTGGAAGCGCCTATATGGTTGGCAAGATGAACGGAGATCATTGGTACCTATACTTGACTAACCCTAATACCGATCTTACACCGCCTCGAACCCCGGATGCAGAAAGATCGGTCACGGAGACTAAGGTCCTGAACATGCCCAACCAGGCTCTATCCTTGGATGGTGATTGTTCCCAAGGCCCAGATGAAACCCTAGAGATTCTCATGACTGACCTGGAGCCAAATAATGCCAAACAATTCTATCTTGATCACGCAGTTGCGGCCGCGGAGACCAAGTATGCCAGTCGGGCTATCGAAGCACGAAAGGATGCAGAAGACAGTCTTGGTGAATTGAGTAGAACCGATTTGAGCATCAGTGGTACAACAGCCGGAAGCACCAATACTGATGAAACTTTTGACGTCTTTAGCAACACATCTTCCGATCACAACGGAGGTCTTGTCACACCGGATGATGAGGTATCATTCCCCGAAGAGCTTGGAACTGAGGGTCACGCTCTTGGTACGGTAGTTTCTGAAGCTTGCGGTCTATCGGATGTTTATCCTACCTCGAAGTACCCTGATGCACGCGTTGATGCTTATCTCTTCACTCCGTGTGGATTTTCAGCCAATGGAGTTATTCCCGCTCCTGATCAAGCAGGTGCTGCTACGCATTACTTCACGGTCCATGTTACGCCTGAACCTCAATGCTCGTATGCATCATTCGAGACCAACGTGCCTGGCTGCCAAACTGGTCGTGAGACGGCTGACATTATCGAGCACGTTGTTGATATTTTCAAGCCCGGTCGTTTCAGTGTTACTCTCTTTGAATCGAAGAACAATTCGGCCGAGGGAAGAGAATTAACATTGCTTGGCGATTCTGCCTCCGCCATGAAGAGTGCAGGCGCCGCTCGCCTGAGAAGTGCCAGAATGGAAAACATTCCCGGATACCGTAGAGTTGATAGGATCGTACACGACTTTGACGGCTACGACCTCGTCTTCCGTTACTACGAGCAAGTTGGCTGGGAAGGTAAAGCTCCACGATTGGGAGAGATTGACTAAGTGGCTGAGGGATTGCACTACCTATAAATCATTATTTTTATCATCGGTTTCAGTTCTACTTTTATTCTTATTATCTCTAGCTAGTCAAGGTGCTCATTGGGGCCTACACACCAACTATCTTTACATTAACAACAGTCGACATGCAAGTGGCATCGAGCAAGTATATGATTATCTCTTAGCGCAAATTGAATATACAACCTTTCACTCAGAAAAAGAATCAGTATGACACGTTATGCACATCAAAAAATCAAGTACAACATTAGATAGCATAGCCTCTGTGATTAACGAATGAATACCAATAATTATGCATGCATAACATCAAGAGCGAAAGGTCGCAGCAATCGCGACCATATTCTTGAGCCGGTGAATGTGAACGCGTGGAAACGAAACTTCATTCTGATTCAATTGGTCGAGTAGCATTATTAGTATGGAAAGGCATGATGGTGAAGAAGGTAGTATTGTCTCGAGTATATCAGGAAAAGGTGGAATCGATTAGACATTTAATCGATTGAAGTGAAGAATTGATCAAACTTTTGATGATGCGAGGGGAATAATATGATTTGAAATGATATGAAATGATATGAAATGATATGAAATGATATGAAATGATATGTACCCAGATACTTGCAGCTAAAGCTAAAGCTGCAGGAGTGTAATAATAGAAATGTCCATTTTCGTTCCTTTCATGGATCGCGTTCTCATGCACATCATTTTTCACGATTCGAAAACGAAAAGAACACGAAGAATCGCCATTTCTCCTCGATGTTTTAATTGAGACGCGAAGATATTCTTATACTTTAGGTGAGTCGCGTTTTCTCGCGATGGAAAAGGTTTCAGTTAGTTCGTACTATGATATGAGATTTCCTCATCCCTTTCCCCCTGGCGTGGAGAAAGAGCCACTAGTTTTGGGCAGCGGGCGAATGGAATTGCGGAATGGAGATTGCATGATTGAGATGTGTCTCGCTTGTGGATTGGTGATCCTGGCTTGGCTTATGATTCTTATGATGGTATCCTGGTTTGGACTTGGACGTACGGGGGGTTGTGAGAGTGGTTTTGGGGTTTTCGGGACGTTTTGAACTTTTACTGGGAGGGGAGATGCGGATTGGTGGGTTTTCGCGTGGGCTACGCGCTGGTGATGCGTGATTGAGTGGGAGGTATGGGATTGGATTTGGATTTGGTTATGCAGAGGAGATCTGAGTAGATGGGCGAATGCTCAAGCTAGGTAGATATAAGTAAGTATTGTACTGGTAAGGTTTGGAAATGAGGGTATGTATGTACTCATAGATGCAAGGGAAGAGTAGCAAGAAAGTCGAATTGGTGAATTGAGTGGATATGTATGGATGAACAAGCAGGCATACTCTGTACATATGTATATACCAGGTATTCAAAAAGGGAAATGGAAACGAGAGGCTTTCCAATATAGACCTGCATTCCCCCTACTCTTCTTCTCTTTCCGTGCTCCCTCTCTATCTATCTTGTTTTGATCTTCTTGATTGTTTTGATCTTCGTGATTTTGATTCCGATATCAGTTAAAGTTTTCTTGCTTGTGTGGGGAAGCATATTGTCTACTTTCCATTGCCTCTCGAGCCTCTTCATAGTACATTGTACTCTTCACAAAAAGCCATTCAGTTGTTGCTAGCTCAAGTAGCTTGACATAATAACTTCCATCTAACCTTTCCAAACATAACGAAACGATCCAAGCAAGGCCAGGAGCTGTCGAATCTCGATTTGCCGATACCGACACACTGCACACACTGTATTCCCATCTCCACTTTATTCGCTCCTTTCGCGAACGCGACTGGCTTCTTTTTCTTCCTTTTCCTGCCACCACCTTTTTTGAAATCCTTCCTACCAAATACTCGAAGCACAGCATCATAGTTAATTATCTACTTCTATCCAAATCTTGAAAATTTCATTTCACTCATTTACTCAAACTCATTGATAACCATTGATCTAAACATCATTCGAAAAGGAAAGAATTGAAGAAAGATAAACAATCGGAAAAACCAAATTGATCCCTGTCTCATCAGAGATCGCAATCATGACTTCACATATGCCAATGGGAACGACTAGACAACCGTTTGCTCCATTGAATAGTTCTCGTCTACAGAATATCACGAGTATCAAGAATCGTCAAAATGGTATGCCAAAAGTCCACTTCATCGGAATAGCAGTACCTGTCTCTCGACTGCTACAATTCTCTCGTTCTTTCCTACTTGGCATGATCTACATATGAACATGATACTTACATCCTACCTAGCTCTATCACCCAACAATACCTCGCCTAAACGCAAAGCTACATCATTCGAATCTGACGATGATTCCGAAAACGTTGATCCTATATTCTTCGAATCTCCCAAGCGATCCAAGGCTGTTGAGGAAACTAAAGATACCTACTCAAAACCTACAAGCTACTTCTTGACCAAAGCCCCTCCCTCTCCTACCGAAGCGTCGCTTACCTCTCCTCTCAAACCTATCAAATCTACCACTCAGCGAAAGGTTCTACAAACTCGTACTCAAACACCAAAAGCGACCACCACAGCCCCAAAATCTACACCCCTTACCGCTCCAGCAGGCCGTTCACCCACTAGAAAGCGCGTCGGAATCCTCAATAATCACCGTCGTGCTTCCGGTTCAATAACCCGCGTTGATCCTCCCAAATTCTCCACCTCAAAGCCTAGCGGCCTTAGCTTCTCAATCGATGCCGCTCTTTCAGGAACCATTCCATCTTACGGCGCACGTCAACGTCAACGTCAAGTTCTCTCTTCCAAGGGCACGAAGGCCCAAACCTCTCAGAAAGAAGTCCCCTCTTCCCTTCATGCATCCGAAGGCAAATCATCCTGGTTCTTCCAAATTCATGAAGACACTGAAGAGGAACACGCGACCAATCTCATGGAACATAGTACTGGCATTCTCGATATTTCCTCCGACGAAGAAACACTTACGAGATTGAGAGATGAGAGAGGCAAAGAAAATGTTCCACCTCTAGACGATATTTCTCAAACGCGTACTTCGCTTACTGCTTTCGCTTCGAGTTCTTCTATGTCTCGTAAAGATGATATGGAGATTAGAGAAATGAAAATGAGGATTAAGATGCAACAAAAGAAACGAAGGGAAATAGAAGAGGGTGCTATTGATGTTGATAGAGCTCCATTGGGAGAGATGAGGAAAGAAGATTTCTACGCAGAAGGTTGTGATGAGAAGAGTGTTTTTATCATCCTTCCGGATCCTGAACCTGAGGTGTCAGCCGAGGAAGAAGAAGCTGAGAAAGAGAAGGAAGCTCCTTTGGAGCAAGAAGATCAAGTTCCAGAACCACAAACCACAAACTCATTGCCAGAGCCGGTTTCCACGGCTTACACGCCTGGAAAGGGAAAGGGAAAGGGAAAGGAAATCGATATCGAGTTTCTCATGCAAAAGAAAGTGGTAGAACCGATGGAGAAACCGGAAGCGGATTTCGTTGTTTGGGAAAGTGGAAGTGCGAAGGATGAAAATGAATGAGTTAGATCATTGAGAAGGGAGTGTGTATGAGTTTACGAGCCATGTGTATGATTTTTTGCGAGGGCACTTTGGGATTGTACTTGGAGGAGTTAATTACTTGTTTCCAGGCTTGTTTGGTTGTATATGGATGGATCAATGGGTGGACGGAATGGTTGCAGGGTTACTTGGTTGTGTGGTTATATTTGCATATATTGGCTTCTTATCGTGTTGTTTCTATGTATGGTTCTGTCTGTATTTGTGTTTGGAAGTTTGGGAAGTTTGGGAGGAGGTTTTAGTAGATGGAAAGCCATTTGACATTGCGATTGCTACTGCTAGTGCTACTACTAGTGGAAGAACCAAAAAAATAAGTTGATCTTATAAGTACAATTTTTATTCGACCTAGATGTTTGTGATTATCTTGATGTGATGTTTGAAAGATGGTGCAATGCAGTGAAGTGAAGTGAAAATGTATTTGAAAAAAAATGCATATACAAAAAAATCGTAGAAAATATATTGAATTCGAAAAGGGATAGAGGGGTTGGAGGGTGCGGGGTGAGGGTGAGGGCTGGAAGTGAGATTTTTGATACGTTGTGTGGGGGAGGGAAGTGGGGAGGAGGGGCATTGATTCGCTTGGTGATAGGGGGAGGGGGAGGGGTAGAGGAGCGGGGTAGAGATATGAGGATACATAATGGGAATGATTCTGGGAATGTGAAGATATGAGGATGTATGAAGGTTGTATCCATACTGTATACTGTATATGTGTGTACTTGTGTGTGAGGGGATGAATGGATGGAGTAGGTGGAGTAGGGGATGAGGAGAGGGGATGGTGCTGTCGTTTGTAGGGTGGGTGGGTAAGGGTGGGATATTGATATTTTTGAATTTTGGGGGTGAGTTAGGGAGGGATGATTGGTTGGGAAGGTTGGAGCTTGGAGCTTGGAGCTTGCTTGGGGGCAGGAGGGAAGAGAGGGTTGGCAGTTGGTAGTTGGCGGTTGTTGGGTTCTTGGGTTCTTGGGCTCTTGTTGGTTATGGTGGTTGTGGGTTTGTAGTAGTGTAGTAGTGTGCTTTGTTTAGTTTGGTGTATGTGGGTTTTATGGCTGGCTGGCTAGGGGAGAGTTCTTCTTCTGTGGTTGTATGGGAGTTGGAGTAGTCACTACTACCAATAGTATTGAGGTTTGGTTAGATGCTTGGTTCTGGAGGTCTTGGTATTGGTAGGTGTATTGTTTGGCTAATGGACTGTTCGGTATTTTCTGTGTGTGGTGTGGTGTGGTATTGTGATGTGATGAGTGGGATTGTAGATTGCCTGTGTGGATTCTGGAGGGGATGGAAAATGAGGAATCGAGAAATTGATATTTGAATGGCATAATGGGTGGGAAATAAGAGGTAGCTGGGTATAGATGATGGATGATTGATCTTGGATGGATAGTTGATTGAGGGGAATTGGGGAGGAATATTATATATATCTTATGGTTTGGAAGTGTGAGATAGCTCATGGGAAAGGCTGGATTTCGTGTGCGAGGTTCATTCTGTCTCATGTCTCAGATGCGTTTGGACTGTCCATGTACGAGATTTGAGATGGGATTTTTGAAGGCTTGATGGGAGGTTGTTTGAAGGCTAGGTAAGTCTAGTTTTGATAATTGGAAAGCGGGCTCACACATGATCTTTATCACTCGCACAGCTTGTGGACGGGTTCCTTGAGGGCAGGATGATGCTTTTGTTAAGATCAAGGTGTGACGACGATATTGATGCACTGTGATGTTTGTGTGAGTTGCAACTGGTCTCCTCTTACCACAACCCTTGAACTGCCCATTCACTCCTCCCATCTCGCCAATTCACCCTTCCATCTGTTATTCACTCACTATCCACTTCCGAGAACACTCTCATCCCACTTACTTCCATCCCATCTCATCATCCCCACCCGCATCCACAAAAACCATGAAACTCCTCAATCAGAACCCTCCTCTCTTTCCCCTCTCTTCCCTCAGAAGGAATTCTTTTTTACAAGAATCAAAACTAGCGAAAGACCAGGCCATAGGGCTCTTCATTCCCCAACGAATTCCAATACCTACACAAAGTAGGACATGCATCAATGTACTGATGAGTCACAAGATTGTCCATGTTCAATCATATTCAATACCATTGCGCCATAGACGTTTATGTGTTCAGATATTGGGAGAGTAGTGCTTGGGATTATATTTGAGGAATGGATGGTTGGGTGATGGGTTGATTTGTGTGAAGAGGATTGGGAAGATGGGAGGTGAGGTTGAGGAGTGCGGGGGACTTGTGTATTGTTTGATGAGAAGAGGGTGGAGAATGTGTCTGAGGGCATGGTAGGAGAATGGCGAAAAGCTTTACTGAAGGGTGTCTTTCTGCTAAGATCGTGTTTGGGACGTAATTGCGAAGAGGGGTTGCTTGAAAGGGAATATTGTAGAGATTGATGTCATTTTATTGAAAATGGTTGTAATTTCATGTCTCAATGTAAATGCTCCAACCATGAAATGACACGGAAGTTAATCGATTAGACAGTTCATTTTACCGTCTTCAATTTACAACTTGATGCAAAGAACAATTGCAAATTTGACAACGAAATTGCACAATTGGAGATCGATGATATGGAGATTGAATTGGTTGAGAATTTTGGAGGCCGAGGAAGTATGTGATAAATTTGTACACCCACTGTTGTGTCCCTGCTCCCACAGATGCACCGTCAATAATATGCTACTCACAACTCGTGAGTTTTTAGTAAGTATTTTACAATATGTATTCTACATCCGTATCATTCATACATGTGATATACACATCTATGATATACCAAGAGGCTTCAATATTCTCTCTCGCGCCACTCTTGTTGCAGCATCACCACCCTTCTGTAATGCGATTGCTCCAATAATAGCGTACAATGAAGTGGCTAGTACGAGCTCAAGACCAGACTTCTCGAGATTATCCTTCTGTAAAGGGAATTAGTAGCCGTATGGATACGTCTCGTAGAAGAACACTCCAACTTACCATTCTAGGTTCCCATCGAATAATATCTGGCATGCCCATCTGAGTAGCCAAATTCGCCAACCTCTCCTTGCTTAAAATATCATCCACCTTAACATTGGTCAAGTTTGGCAAACCGTCCAGAGCAGGGTGTGAAAATGGCTCCTCAATTTCTGTTCCCTGGCCGTCTGTTTCCTGAGGTAATTGAGTTTTTGTCGCAACCGGTGATTGTAATAAAACCAAACTTGTCTGTAAGTTCAATATCCTACGTCCTGCATATTATAGACTCAGTATACGTTCAGCCATTCGCAACGTAAATTAGGATACGCACCGAAATATGCCAATCGATCATTGAATCCTCTTCTTCCTTGATCAAAACTCTTATGTGTAATCGCAAGCCATTTTACTTCGTCTGTGAGTACTTCATCGCCTCCCCGTCCAAGAAATTGGATGTAAAATCGATTTAATCTTTCTGGATCGCTATTGACTTCCCATGTGGGTATATCGTGGTTTGCTCTCGGGTTGAAGGGTAATTTCATCTGTGGTGGTGTGTATGACCATCTTGGTCTTGCCCCTCGTTCTTCATTATATTGGGTATCTGATCTCGAGGCTGATATTGAAAATTGTCGGACGGTATTTGAGCGGGAGGATATGGGAGTCGCGCATGAGCATCTTTGACGTGCTTGCCGGGTGAGGGATTGAAGTGATCGGGTGGTAGTTTTGGATGCCATTGCTATGTATGATTTGTGGTTAATCGTCGTGCAAATACCCCCTCCTCTAGCAAAATAATTCCTCGATGTTGAAAGCTCAAGATTTCTGGAAACTTTATCTAGACGCTAAACTTCTTTTGTTCTAGATTGAGTTTCGCGTCCATCATTGTGCCGACTCGCCGACGCGTCTCACAAAGAACGACTTCATTTAAAATTCCATAAGTACTCGAGTGATTTAAGCTATTAGACTCTTAATTTATGATCATGAAATTCATGAAATAACTTACAATATTGTTTTGCTATGGCTACTCAAGGGAGTGTTGGTTCGAAAGAATCAGTTGCATCTTCCGTTCTCATACAACGACTTGCTTCTGTCCTTCCTAAAGACGTCACTTTTAAGATCTACCATCTATCTACCCCTCCAACCAAAACCTCATCATTATATTCTGCACCACCGAATAGTCGACCCGATAGAACTTACTGCGAAAGCCATTTTCTTACAGTTTCAATTAGAACTCCTTCTAAACAAGATGCATCTGAATTACTCGAAGTACTAGTTTTTGCAATCGAGATCCTGATTTATTCCACCGCATACGATACTACATTTTTTGTTTCAAAGGCTGATTCAACTGGTTATCTTCACCTTCTAAATCTACCCAAAGGAACGCCTTCTCCCATAAGGGATATCAGTGCTACATTCTTACAACATTTAGTCGAGCAACATCAAAGGGAAAATATTCAAAGTATTGTCTCCCTTTTCGCACGAGCTCAAGATCAATATCTCTTCCCAGGGAGCATTGAATATAGTGGAAAGCATGTGTTGGACGACAGAGGCTTGGTGCGCTGGTGGTGTCGAGTTCTTGACCCCCTGATAGAGCAGACGGAAACCTCGAATGATTTGCGAAAATCACAATGGGACTCGGTGAAGGGCTTTTTAATTGTGCCTGGGCAGGACAATTACGAGACCAGGTCATATCTTCCAGCAAGAGCAAAGGTACAGACTGCGCAGAGCTCCTGGACCATTGGGCACCCACTTCGACAAATTTCAAGACATGCAGACGATGTTCCTCCACGATGTCTAGTCCCACATTATCCTGACGATCCAAAAGCAAGATTTCTTGACGAATTGGATGATGAAATAGGAAGGGGAAAGGATGATTCGAATGGACAATGGAAGAGTGTGAGAAATATTGATCAATTTTGGGAGATGATGGCATATAGACAAGAATGTTCAGCCGGTCGACTTGTTGGATTTATATGGATTGTTTTTACACCACCAGTTCGACATGATCACGGAGGTCTTGTAATTGGCAGCAGCCAAACTTCAACATTAGCTAACAATAATCAAGAGCTCAGCTCATCGTTTCTATCTATTCCAGACACTACACCAGCCATTTCCACTCCAACGACAGCGTTTACTAGCTCGAATCCAGCTCAGCAGTCACCTTCGAAGCGAAGTGATGTTTTTTCAGTCGTTAAGGAACCTAGTCATTTGTCAAAGACTTCCGCCCAACGCAAGAAGAAAAAATTGTCTGGGCTTATCGTTCCCAGACAGCCACGCATTAAGACTGAGAATAAAAATTACTTGTTAGAAAGACCCGAGAGTACCGCATACTATACTTGGAAACCAGAAGGTCGCGGTCAAGTTATCGTTGACGAAACGGATTATCATCGAATTAATGAATTGCTGCTTCGACTAGACTTTGCCGATCTAGACCTAGCAAGTTCGAGTTCGAAAAGATGGATCAACGAAGTCCGTTCCGGTGCTGGAAGCATGGGCGATACATGGGGCCAATTAGTCACAGGAACCAAAGTAACAGAGATTACAAATGAGACGAGTGGCGGAGGCGTTACAACTCTTAATGTAGGGCTTGTGCGAAAGAAAAGGAAATCGAGCACAGATGAGCCCCACGAGCCCACTCCTACCGTGACAACGACCCCACAGGTCAATGTGCTTGGAGCTGGTATGATTAGAAAAAGGGTAAAAAATTAACGTGGCTATCATTACGCCTGGTGTATATTTGGTATAGTTAAAGGTCTGCATTCGAACGGAGTTGGATACAAGGGGTGTTCCCGAGATATGAATACCCAGGATATGGATCACGGATAATCAAGGCAATTATCATTTCGCATTTTTATACAACACTCACGTGAATTCGAAACACAATCGCGAAGCACTGATGCAGTGGCTTCTCAATAACCCTGGCCAAATGCGCCGGCCTTGTAGATCCACATTTCCCCAGGTCCGGCACAGCCTTCTCCTTACGTTATTTATGAATCCGTAGGGGAGAACTTTGAATAGACTACGAGTAGCTGATGAACTTCAGGATTGCGACAAAGTTGCCGTTTCATCTGACCCCATTTTTAAAGCGGTAAAGTAGGTAAGCGAGACCTCCTTTACTTCGCCACATTATTCGGGTGCACAATTGGTCTATTCGTACACGGATGCCATGTGATATTTAATCTTTTTTACGCCCCGACCAATGAGAGATCATACGTAATTAGTCAGCTACACTTCCTACGTCAAGGAGAGCTGTAGTATCTCACCACCTGCTTAGACCATTGCTGTTTCCTTTCTCATATATGAACCTAGATTTCTCAATGATCTTAACTTTCTTAGCTAGTACCGGTCATTTTCCCTTTCTTTCTGCAATACCCTGTAATATTTTGTATTGACTTTCCTTTGAGCTATCTTCACTTATCCCTGTTGATTATACCAACAAATTCTCTATTGCCTCAAACAACGACGATGATGTTCTCTCGTCTCATAGTCTTAGCATCGACAGTCTTTATCGTTACCAATGCTCTCGCTCTGAGTACCAAAACTACACATTCAAGCCCTACTGCAGCTCCAACGATTTTGCAGCGTGATGCGACTACCACTGCTTCACCTGCATCCACAAGTCCACTTTATTTTCTAACGACGAATTACATTACCATTGCGGGGGTAACAAATGCACATGTGACTATCCCAGCCAAAACAGTATCTTTTGCAGTTCCTACCTGCATAGAAACACTTACGCCGGACAAAAATGGATATCTGCCCCCGGGTACATGCAACGCTCTCTATGATTATTATCCTAGCTCTACATCAGCTATAGCTTTCGCTGCCATCTTCGGAGTTCTTACTCTAGCTCACATCACACAAGCATTCTTTTACAGGAAGGTATTTGCTCCCTTTATCCCAAAATTTAAACCCGAAATTGACATGTCACACAGGCATATAGTTTTCTCATGGTTTCAGCATCCATCTGGGGTCTCACCGCCTTCATACTCCGTATTGTATCAACCTACAACCAACAAGATAACGTCCTTGAACTCATGTCTTCCATCTTCGCTTCGACTATCTCGCCCTTGATCAATGCCTATTACTTCATTCTTCTAGGACATCTCGTACATCACTATCTCTCAAGTCGTTCTCTTCTTGGTATTCGTGCTCATTTCATCGCGCTCCCATTTTTAGTGTTGAATGGAGTGGCCTTTGTGCTAGAAATTGTGGGTGCAACAATGATGGAAAAGAGGAATTTCGAACGGGAACAGAGGAATGCAGATCATGTTCACATTGGAGGCTTGGGCATGCAAATGCTGGTAATTCTTATGTTTTTGGGCGTGCTTGTGACATTTTGGAGAGAAATGAATGGGCTAGGACGAAGGGGTGTTATGGGAACAGGGTGGAAGGGCTTACTGGGAGCAATGTTCGGAGTGTTATGTCTTATTATGGTAAATCCTCTATCCTTACCGTAAAATGATATCGTCTAGACAGTAGTACTAACGCAGACCCCACAGATCCAGATATTCTTCTCCATCGCTCGATTCTCCATCGGAGACAAGACAGCGAGTTCCCTCTCCACCCATGAAGTATATTTCTACATCTTTGAAATAGTCCCGGCAGTTCTAGCTATAAGCATCATGAATGCACTTCACCCTGGTCGAATCATGACAGGAGAAGAGAAAATGGAGAGTCTTTGGAGTGTTCTCATGTGTTATTTACCTTTCTGTAGATCGAGAAGTAAAGCGAGAAAAAACAATGATGCGGGCTCGATTGCTAGCTCAAAAGAATTAATTGATTTAGATGAGGAGGGGTTTGAGGGGAAATTTGATAAGAACGATGAACCGCCGAGGTATACCCCTTTGTGAACTGGACTTAGCTTTGGTATTTGCATACAATGGTATAGAGAGATTGCTCATTTTATATTTTGTATTTTGTTTATCCAAATTTTCTACTTCTGTGCAATGTAATGCAAGATCCCGGTGCATTTCATGGCCTAAGTCTTCAAGGGATAATTGCAAAGTGAGCCGTGGAAAAGCAAGTTAGGCTATCACATATTGGCTCATTCATATCACAAAATGTCAACTCGAAAATTTCCAAACATCCTGATCCGTCAGTTGATCAGTTGCATGCCCGCTAGCACTCGACTCCTTTCTTTATCATAACAAGATATATCAAGCAAAGTCCCATCATCTTCTGTGAGCTAAATCTATGATCTACTTGCGAAGTTCCGATGCCGAGCACAAAGAAAAAGAAGTCGATTCGTGCAATTGACATGGACGACTCTGACGACTTCGAAGACATACTTAACTGCAGTAATTCCAAAATGTTACGACATCCTACCATCTTGGAGCCAGGGATAATGGTGCAGACAGTGAAGGGAAACGAAGTCACTCAGCGATGGGGACTCCCGACTCCCTGTGAATGTAAAGGCCGCGACAATACTGCAGACGTCATAGTCTCAGCCATTGAGTTCTGGAAACCTTCCGCACGTTTAAAGCTGTTGGATCTCGGGGTATCTCAATTTTACTGGACTGAATCTGCTCATAGGGTCTTTTCCGTCAAAAGATCTTGGAATTTTGTGCGAGTATGTGTCCTTCAAATCGCGACTATTTCTACTAAGACTAAGCTAGGTCACATTCAAAGAACAGGCCCTATCCTATCACATCCATAATGATGGTAGATGGCAGCTACTGGCATCTGGTGGGTTGGGCTTTGAGCAGATTTGCACTACGGATCATGATGAAGAAAACTGGCATAAGTGTCAAATTTCGAAAAGTGACCGAATATTGGCTGGTAGATTGGGTAGCTACCTCCCCTGGCACCAAGAACGTCTCAAAGAGTTCAAATTCGAGTGTTACATCACTGCGCACAATGGAATATGGATAGCCATCGACAGATTAGAGGCTGCTGGCGGCGCGGCGAACAAAAACTCGGCTCCAAAGCGAGTATCCTTACAGTCACACAGCGATACCGAAATTGAGACCACAATCAATGCCACTGCCACCAAGAAAACGGATCAAACTCATCTGCAAGGAACAAAGAAGAGAAAGGGCGTAGCAGAATGACTGGGTTGATGAACAGGCTTCAGCAGAAATATTCAAGATGATGCGCTTGGGAAGTAATCTACGGGATGGAATGGGGTGAGAGAGAATCATTATGCGGACCTTCGTTAGTATCTGGTAGTATTCAATCAAGAGTTGGGGATAGCGAGCAAGTTTTGATTTGGTATCATGATATGTGACCTGCATGATTATTATTCTCCATTTCCGCAAATTCGACCAACGAAAAGCGGCTGACGCAGCAATGCTCATTCATTCGGGAATATACATATCTGAGCCCTGAAGATCTTTAGGCAACAGTAAGGTAGATGCTCTTTTTTTGTTGGTTTAGTCTGTGTTACACATCTTTTGAGCTTGTTTGCATTTTATAAGGGACTTGAATTTTCCTTATGTCTATGACTTGCAAACAATACTGAGTAAAGGGTAGTACTACCTAGATTGCCGGGGAAGTATGTATAAAGAAATAGCCACACAGAAGACATAGGAATTTTGGAGAACTAGAACTGGCTAGAGTGAATGTGTATGGAATGAATCGCTTGGTCAATAGATCATTCCTCAGTTTATCCTCTTAATCATATCATGTTATGTGGCAATAGATAAACTGGAGGCTTAAAGCTCTCCATTGTGGAGAGGCTTCGTTTGTAGAATTATGTCATTTGCTGGAAACTTTGATGAAGGGATGCACTTTACCGAGATATGTAGGGGTCTCATTGGTTGGATGTCAAGTTCACTGCACTCGAAACTTCATTTGTTGGCTCACACTCAATTAACGAGGTGCTGGTTTCAAAATACAAACGATCAGGGTATCGGAAGTCGCTCTACGCTCCGAAGGAAGAGAGAACTGTAGGATCCCACGAATGAGTCAATCTCGGTGTGAAGGCTTTGAGAATACTGGACGCAAGTTTCCGACGAAATGTATCTGCCTATGGTGGCGGTGTCCATGCACGCTTCCGACCCTTCAATATGCCTTTAACTGGGCGATTGATTTTCAGTTCGAGCATGCAGTTTACACGGATTGCTTATATTCTGACTACTTTTTTCGGTCGTTCGTAGGTAGATCACAAATTTTCTAGAGGCAGTTTTTCGAAACCCCTCATCTCCAGACAGTTGCGTGGCTAGAGTATTTGGAGCGTGGAATCACAGAGACCGTGGATCCAAGTAACCAAAAAAAGAAAGGGTTACTAGATGAAATACAGTTGCGCTTCTTCCGCTTGATGGTACGCAAGGGTTTTCGATCACTATTTGGGGGACTAGGGAGAGGAATTTGGGAATGGTAAAGAACATACTAAGCCTATTTTGAGAAGAGAATACTGTGTAGTTGCAGCAAAGTAAAAGCAAGGAAATTTTGGCGTCGAATTTAAGGTATCCATTGCAGCCTCACAATGAAAAGCTTTAGTTGGACTATTTTGTGGTGGCGGGCAAACATGATCCTTGTGGTTGTATTCTTGAATAAGAAACTACTTCGGCACCTTTCCGTGCCAAAGACTGGTATCCGTAGCCCGAGCTTGGTAAATGCTCGTTTCCTCATCTACCGAGATTTCAGAGTGCTGAATTTCCATAATTCCGACTTCTCCTAATAACTTTCGTGAACTCACACTCCTTCCATCTCACTACCTACCTCCAGAAATGGCCGATTCGAGTATCAAAGAAGGGACTGCCAAGCGACTTGACGTTAAGTACAAATGCAAAGTTAACCTTCCCGCCGATACTCCTTCGGGACACCCACACATAATCAAATGGAATGCTGGAGTTGACAAGGACAAAATTCCACGCGATTTGTTTACAGTTGACGTAATTGCTACTATTCTCTATGAATTCAACCCGTCGGCTCTCAGTCATTTGCTCGATGTTCAAGAGGGACAGTTTTATTGCTGGTGGGAAGCAAACGGGCATATCAAGGAATCTGAGAACGGTAGAGAGGATCAGAGTGAAACCGTGGATAGCGAGAGCAAGGAATCCGGGGACTTGTTGCCAGAATATATACACATTCATCGCGTAGGACAGTTTGTTCGAGTCAGGGTGAGTAGCTTCCTGTAAAATATGTGTGGAAAAGACATGTATAGCGCTGTGAATATCCCTCTGATGACTTAATCATAGATCGTTCGTTATGTGGGTCGTTTCTTTGATTTGGAAGTAAATTATGCTATCTGCGATAAGGGTAAATGGGAGATTGTGAGCTCTCAGAATCGGAGTCATGATGAGAAATATTACCTATATACCAGCTCTCCAGATCTTTGCAAAGCACACGACCATAAATTAGCAAGAGTGATCTTCCGCGAGTCAGCTTTCGAAGACAAGAAGAACATGCAAATAGGCTACCACCGAGACTATGGGCTTGAAAAAGGAGCCGGGGCTCCAAAATATTCCAGACGCAAGACACAAACCGTCTCAAATGTGGGCCGTATCACCGAAGTTTCTGAAAAGGTTCAAGAAAGTGAATTTGGTTCCGGAGGTAGTAGTAGATACGTGGAAGAGATGTCTGAGGTTCAAGGTCGGCTGGACAAACTTCAGAAGTCAGTCGAGGAGTTGACAAGCTATTTGAAGAAGAGAAAGCGCGATGATTGAGAGGATACGATGGCGGGCTTGGCATGGAAATGGGGGTTTGAATATGGCTTGCCTATGGAGGAGATGAGAAATCTTGTGTGTTCACATAACTTAGGCTGTCACATCAGATGGTAGAGGAAGGAGATCGTCGGATTGCACGCAAACGATAAACAAAACATAGAGGGAAAACTTCCGACCAAATCTGATTTTTTTATGGCTTGAATTTGCTTATCAAATGATCGAAACATTGAAGACTGCTATAGAATACTTGAATACTGAGTTTGTAAGTCTGAAGGATCGTTCTCCTCTCGATTCTGAGTCGAAACAGTTTTCAGTTAGTGACACTCGATTTTTGTAAATCATTTATTGCTTGCAGCATGTGATTGGTTCTGTTCTCATGTCCTCGGGATTTCTCTCAAATCTTCTCAGACTTTGTCTATTCCACGAAGAAAAAGGAGCTGAACAAATTGACAGAAAAAAAAGGCACATTAAATCGATGAATCGTCAAGTATATTCATACTATCACCACCGAATACTACTCCAGAACAGCCAAAGTAAACCTAGAAAATCCTGCTGTGCTCCGGTCTAGCTTTCATATGCAGGTCAAGAGCCTATCTCAAGCTACCCCTGGAAAAAGCTAGGTACAATTGATTTCTTTGCCCAAAACAAAGCTCAAGAGATTTAAGGAGCGAAGAAATGTTCTCCCAGAAAATCCTTTAGTAACACAATATATGATAGCACTAAGCTAATCCCCTTCTTTCATTTATTCTTGGCATTTAAGACACCACACTCTATACTTCATTTCATCGATACAGCCTAAGAAAAGCCCAGAATAACTATGGAGGACGGATTCTGTAAAAAGATTGACCTGAACCTCAATATTAGCATCGATCTTCCGGCAGATGCCCCTGAAGGCCATCCTCATCTCCCCAATGTCAAGAGACCTCGAAACGATATTCATCCCGAAAAATGTAAGGAGATCAGATCCACGCAAATTGAATTCCCGAAAGATTTGTCTTTGATCAATGTCATAGCAACTACAATCTTCGACTGGAAACCGGCAGCACTTCATCACCTCCTCAACCTTGAAACGAACAATTTTATTGTGCAGCTAAATGGGAAGAGGGCAGTGTAGAATATAATGCATGGAATAGATTCATGTACGTACACCGCTTGGACCAGTATGTTAGAACTGCAGTGAGTCCTTCTGATGAATTAATGTGGTGAAGAGATTTGACTAATCGCAGATCCAGATTGTGGGAATTACTGCGGGGGCAGAGGTATCTTATCGTATTTGTAATGATCAGAAATGGGAGATTATAAGCGCCCAAAATCACGATACTAAGGACAGTTGCATTTACTGGGTGCCTCTAGACCCTGTAAAGAGATGTGCCTGCGATGAGACCGAGAAGAGAATGGCCCAACTTGTATCTCAACAATATCTGGTCGATGTTGTATTCCAAAATATGATTTTTCCGGTTTTGATCTACGAGCCTGAAGCTAAGAGTACGAAGAGGCAGAAATTGAAGGGATTTACTACAAGCGAGCTCATCGATGTCTGGCGGGAGTCAAATACTGGGAGCAGCTCTGACACTTTGATGGAAGGAAACACAAATGCAAGGGTTGCCGAGCTTGAAGCCCAGATATTGGTGCTGAAGAAATCGATCAAGGAACTGACTGGTCCAGCAAGAAAAAGGCGTTGGGAGGACCAATCGGAAAGTGTTCCGCGCATAAATTTAGAGTGGAAATAGTGTCTAAGTTGTGCAATGAAACCATAATTGAGCATCAATATGAAAGTGCATCGTATAAGAAATGTAGAGGTCAACCAAAAGAAGGTTGCCCATGTGCCAGGAACTCTTGGTAGTATGGATACACAATACTGATCAGGATGGATCCACAATGAATTATGTTTGGCTACTCAAAACTTGGAAACATGTGCTTTGCATTTTGAAGAAAATTTGCCTGAGAAAAAAATAAAAACGACACGACAATTGTGCAAGGCCCCCTCTGGTTTTCACGCCCTGACAAGCATAGTAGGGATAATTATTAAGGGCAGGAATAGTAGAGTGCAAACAAATGTTTGCGATCGAGGTATCATGCTGTGAGAACCCGCATTAATTAGAGTTTGATAGTTCCCTGAAATGGCATACAGACCGAAATCAAAGAGCTTTAAGATAGAGCAGACCAACCCGAGAATGTCACTAAAGGTTTGAAGTTGTGGCGTTAGACATCACAGGCAGTAGAGACATTTCAGCAGCGATGAGAATTGGGCAGTTTCGATTTGTGAAAGATATCGAAATTATGTGGGAATCTATGAACAAAAATTAAACATCCAAACTATATAGTGAAGACTTCTCCATCCAGTGATCTACTTTTGACCTTACTTGGCCCCTTTTTCATTTCTGTCCAGGTCCCATTGACATTCCAAGTGCCTGCCTTCGTGTAATCCCAACTTCTAGAGCCTTGCATGTATCCAAATCTAAAATATTCGGGTTGTAGTAAAGGTGAGTTTTTATACCAAACGAAATGCTTATCACTTGCGAATCCTTCATCGGTGTATCCTCTGAAACGTTCTACATCGTTAACTAGCACACTGATGCCATCAAATGGGGCAGGTGGTGGAAGCCAGGTGAAAGATATAGAAGAAACATTACTACTCATTGAAATCTCTGGAGATGAAATACGTGGTAGCGCGGAATTATGTTTCGCATCTCCTTGAAGTGCTGCAGGAGTCTGAAGCACAGGATCAAATCCCCACCGTGCAATACCGTTGATAAACAAGCCGACCAACAATCCTTGGTAGAGAAGTGCAGGTCTAGTCTGCATGGAAGTTCCCGGTAGCAGTAAAAGAGCAAGAATATAGTGATGTATTCGAAGACTAAGACCAGGTAGTAGAAGAGATATGAGTATAGCGGCAACAAATATCCCATACAAGCCGAGAAAGCGAATTAAACGACCCTCCATGCGAAAGAAGAATACTTGTTTCACGATTATAATGATAAGGAATATGATGATAAGTGCCAGAGCAAGTTTGGCACCTGGCTGTTGATTGATATCGTGAGCATTCAGCCGTTGAATAGGGATCCACTCAAAAGTGTAATTTGAGAGTGTTCCAACCCAGCAGCCCCCGAGCCATAATATAGTCTTCTCGATCTGAGCTGTGAGCCCAGCCAAGGCACGTTCGACGCCCATATATTTATATATGACAAAAGCGCAGAAAGCTGCAGGTAGGAACTTCCCTAATATGTTTGAGACCAGTCCGGTCATGGTATTAAAATTAGGTGGATCAGAGCCGAGACCAGTATGAGCAAAAAGCCCAGTGAAAATGGAAAAGAAAAAGAGACTAGGCGATGTAGTAAAAAGCGATAGCACTACTGTGAACGTCAGAGAAACAAACAGCAGTGACCAGCGCGAATCTTTGGCCTTGCAAGTGATTCCTTTCTGGAATGCAAATGATGATGGGAAGGTCGAGTCGAAACCAATGCTTTTGATCCCATGCCTGTTCGAGCTTGGATAGCTGTTGTGTTCTCCGACCAGCAACACAACACCGCAACCTCCTTTGACATTGTCGACAACCCCAGCATGGATTGCGGATCCGCAGATGAAGCTGTCACTGCGATAAATCGCAGTAGTATCATCGTCTGTAGGTCCACCAATCACTAATGGCCTATAGTTGATTTCTTGCGCCCCAACAGCTCGCGGATTAAGAACCTTTGCGCTGGCACAGTTTGCGGGACATTTAAATGCAAATCCACTTCCGTTAAAGGGACGGCAATCATTTCCGTTCAAACCACACTGGTTCCCAGCTACCCAATATGTATTGCCACATCCAATATCGCTAGGGACTCCCCATTCCTCTATCGCGGTAGCAAGTGTACTCTGGCGTAGGACAAGAGCAAAAGTCAGAATCCAACAAAAGTAATATGCTATGAGAAGCGATATCCTATGTCTTCTCTTGGGTATATATCGATCTAAAAGTCGTAATGGTGCTTCCTGTAGCCACGGAAACCAAGGCTTGATGACGTTTATGCGCGGAGGATCTGGCCCTTTCGCCCAAGTAATGGCTTGTTTACTGACACGTCTGACCGGAGTAGGAATCCATTTAAGGTACCGATAGGAAGACTGATCTTGTAGAAACCGAGGGGTAGGAGGAGAATCGTCATCTGATATTTCGTTCATGGGTAGAAGTTGAGTGAGTGTAGGGTCTTCAATTGGATCATCGGGGTGGTCATTGTCTGTAAAATGTTGCCTGTTATCGACGCGACCATTTCGGTCCCCCATATTGCTTATTGAAACCCCAGAAATGAAGGTGACTTGATCCGAAATTCCCGAAGGTTGTGCGTGCTCGATTGCTTTTCCTTGCTTATTATAGGAAATTGGGCATGTTAGTCCTAGGTCCAAATAACAACTGAATGCTTGTGGCAATCTCAATTCATTCAACAGCAGAAAATACAATCCAAAAAGAAGTTAATGTAGGATGAGTACTGCGGTGATAGAAGTATACTTTTGAAGTGCTCCTCCCTTCCCGTCAGACTTGAGAAATGTAACATTTATCGCACGGACATTTATCCGATAAGGATAAGCTGCTGTGATGACAGAGCTAACCTCTTGCAGACTAGTGTCTTCACTCTGTGCTAGTACTATCCAAGCCGCAAGTGTAGGAAAAATTATATTCTGGTCAGATTCGGTGATATATCTGTTCTCGACGCCAATATACAATTCTTGTCCAAAATTATACATTTTGAGATGTTTATGAAATTTGCAAGTGCTTGTCTCAAATTTACGGACGCTCTGTATATAATCTGAGGGTTGCTGGCCTGCAGAAAACTCAGTATCTTGGCGATATTTAATCGACCTCTTTGCTCATACCTCTTATTTCACTTAACGAAATGTCCGCCATCAATATGGCTCCCAAAAACCCTACGAGGCTCGGATTTCAAATTTTGAATACTCTGGATCACAATGCCTCTGGACCAAGACTAGGAAGAATCACTCTGGAAGGACGGAAAGATTTGGAAACCCCGGATTTTCTAGCAATTACATCTAGAGGCGTTATACCTCATATGACGCCGGATGTAATTGCAGCACATGCAAAAGTTCCGGGCGTTCATTTCGCATTGGAAGATTGTAGGTTTCACATCATTTTATCACGTGTTTATATTCGTTCTGATCTTTTCTAGTCATAGAAAAGAGCAATAAAACAACTATATCTCCTATCTTGAACTGTCCTGGAGCAGAACCACCTCTTCATGCTTTTACTGCCTTGTCCAGATCTACCATATCCCTTTTGGCACCAAGACGGACACCGGCTGTTACAGCCCCCAGTGGCAACAGTAACACAGCTATTTCTGTATTCACATCGACAGGATTCCAACCTCTTTCTAACAAATCCTACATCGATTCAATTGCAACCTTACGCCCAGATATCGTTGTTGGGCTTGCGGATGTTCCCTATAGCACTATAGCAGGAGCAAAACGTACCGCCAAAATGGGCGATAGAAGTGGGCAGTGGCTGGCCCAGCTCTTGGCTGACAAAGTCAAGGAACAGCCCGTTTTTGCACCAGTATTGCCCATCGATTATCAAAGCCAGTGGGAGTACATAAATTATATCTCTGACGAACTGGTGGATGAGGTCTCGGGTTTAGCTTTCTATGATTCAAACTTACTCCCAGAAATTCCAGAGACTACAGCCATGTCTCTACTTCCTCGTCTCTCCTTGGATGAGCCATCATCTCCTCATCATGTCCTCCGTCAAATCTCACTCGGAATGGACATTTTTACTATTCCGTTCATCAACTTTGCCACGGATGCTGGAATCGCATTAACCTTTGAATTCCCATCTCCCACCAGCTCTCAATCTTCAAACGAAAGCAGTTCAGTCCTTCCTTTGGGTATTGATATGTGGACTGCAGCTCATGCTACTTCCTTACTTCCTCTTTCTGAATCTTGTAAATGCTATGCATGCACTTCCCACCACCGAGCATTCATCCAGCATTTACTTTCAGCCAAAGAGATGCTCGGATGGGTCTTGCTTCAAGTACACAACCATTATATTCTTTCGGAATTCTTTACAGCAATACGAAGGAGTATCAAAGAAGGCACATTTGAGAAAGACTGCGAAGAGTTTGCCAGGAAATACGATAGTGAGCTACCAGAAAAGAGTGGACAAGGACCAAGAATGAGAGGATATCAGTATAAAAGCGAGGGAGCGGGAGAGAGAAAGAAGAATAAAGCTGCCTGGAACAATTTGGGATCTGACTCAAAAGCCACCGGCTCAGAAGTTGCGCTGGTGCCGGATGAGAGCTCGAAAGAGCTTGAAGAAAAAGGATTTGCGGAGAAATTAGAGAATTAGATAGTGGTTAGCATCATATCATGATGTATAGATGAGTAATGTAGATTTATGGATACATAAAAGGCCACCAAGCACTCTCTATTCTCGATTCTATCTTTAATACGTCTCTTGGAGCTCTAGTCAAAGTGTTTCTTTGTAAGATTTCCAGAGCTTCCTGCACCCAACTTAGCTCCTCCATGGGCATCAAACCAGTCCAAGAACTGGAACATGCTTGCCTTTGGAATACGTTCCATCGAAGTCTGATTCAACCACTGCATTCCAAATTTCACCTTACTTCCCGAGAACCACTCAAAGTTATCGAAGATAGCCCAGCCAAATGCACCAGTGACATTGACGCCTGAATTATATTAGTACAAGCCACATCAGGCAACAACAATGGGAAACTTACCATCAACAACC